TATGTGTGTGTGTGTCTGTGAAGACAATAACTTGAGTACAGTTACAGCTAGGTTGATGAAATTTCATATATAAGTATTATATCAAATTTGTAGTTCTGTATCAAATTTTCCAGCGATTTCCGGTAACCGAAAGTGGAGCTTATTCTACTTTTAGTTTTTTTTATAAGCCTATAACTTGAGTACTGTTTCGGATAGATAAATGAAATTTCACATATATGTAAAAGATTTAATCCTCTGTCTTCTATCAAATTTAGAGTAATTTCCGTTGAACGGAAGTAGTAATTTTATGCTATTTCCGATTTCTCAAAAAACGCATATGAATTTATAAAGTACTAATAATATTCCGCACTATTATACACATATTGTTTGCGATTCACTGGTGCGCATTTTTTTCAACGAGATTCTATTCTATGTTAAAAATTTAAGTAATAAAAATGGATTAAAAATCATTCTATTTCCCGAGTTGCCATCCCCCGTAGTGTTATATAAGAATGTTTAGGGGAGATCACTCCCGGTTAATTTTTAAACTGCTCTCACGACAATCGAATCAGCGCTCTATTCTCAATTAAAGTTTACACATTAAATAAAATAATCAATAAAGTAATAAACAGTTACACCTAAATTATGGACGTTAATGTGAATTAATTTTTTTAAAGTTGCAATAACCTTCGATTGTTGATTAACGACATAATGTTAAAGGATTTTAAATTAGTTGTTAGCGTGTGGGGAAGAAATTAAAAGTATTCTATAAAAACTTTTCTGAATTTCGTTTTAGGTTTAAAAAAATCTATAATCTGATTCTTTACTTTAGAACTGCTAATTCGCAAAAGAAACCTACCGACTAGTTAAAATTAAAAAAAAAAAAAAAAGTCGAGTATGACTCAGTAAGGCCTATGTCAACAGAACTGAGGGGTAAGGCTAAATTGTGTAACTGACATAAATACGTCACATTTAAATCGAATCACATATTTGTGCAGTGTCTGTTGAATACAAATCCGCGAGGTTTAGGAAAGAATATTTCCATGAACTACTAACATTTACGGCATACAAAAAGTTTAACTTGCGTTCTTTTGAAGGGCAGTTGTATAGATCGACACACTAATAGACTCGATAAAGCATGAATCACTTAAAACTCTAAATAACATGAATCACTTAGGACTTTGTTGTTCCAGACCTATAAGATCCCATTCGATCACACACAAAAAAAAACAACCGATAAAGGGAACAGTAGGGCCTACTTTAAAAAATTTAATGAGATTATTAGTCCGCAACTGATACTTGAAAATGTACATGTAAATCAGATAGTTAATTACATTTTTTTCACATTCAAGGTAAAATCGAAACAAATGCGGCAAACTCAGGTATATACTGTAACGACCATATCGAATAAATCAATACATAATCTAGATAAATCTAGCAATCAACATCACCCAAATTCAAAAATTGTTTAAGCTTTAAAAATTAAAAGACGAGCACCGGGAAAAAAAATTGTATACCGCCCATTATCTTGACGCTCGCAGCGTAGCCATGGAACAAGGTACCGTATTAATTAATTAATTAAAGTGATTCACTAGAATAAATTGATGCAACATTTCAGCAGCCCCTACAGTCCTACAGCTGATTACATTTAAAATGACACGCCGATAGTCCACTCTGTCCACTAGCCGTGTCGATTTTTGAATACAAATTGGCGTCGCTGGCAAATCTCCAAAGTCAATACAACAACACACAAAAAATACACTAACAACTCTTAACAAACTAGAGTTTTTGCACGAATAAACAATCATGTTAATTAGTTTTTTTGTGTAACCGCATGCCACTATTATCACTGCCAAACGAACCGTATTTAGTGTATATAGCAGCCGATAGTCTAGTGTTTCGACTTTTCCCCCTCGGTAAATAGAGTAACCAAAAAAACATAACTTCATCTACCGACCGAAAGCCGTCGAACACGCTTGCTGCTGGCGATTTCACGCGACACTAATTAAAATGAATCAGGCCGATTACGTCACGCCACTTCGTGACCATCTCTCGTTCAGCTGTGGTTAGGGAAAAAATTTGGACAAAATTTTTTTTTGCACTCCAACATGTAGCCTATGTGGACTATGTGTAGACATTGGCTTCACTATGCATGGTAAATTAGGATCCATCCCCTCCAACTAGACTGAATATGATGTACTAATAGTGCATACAATGTGGTTTCACCGCATCCCGTATGACGTCACTTAGTTATGTATAGAACTCTAATAAGATGTTAACTGGACATAATTCTCAGTAAAATATGAAATTTAAGGGTTAGGTGTCACCCAGCCTTCCCCCCCCCCCCCCCCCACCCTGTAAGGGTCATCCGAAAAAATTAAGGGGAATTAAGTGGATTTTTGTGGACGGGGGGGGGGGGGGGGTCAACATTTTTTTTTAAATTGTGGACGTCATAAATGGATGACCCCTAACGCTGATATATGTGAGCTTTACTATATGTGCATGGTGAGTGGGGAGGTATGACGGTGAATACATGCGCCCCTGTGTAATTCACAGTAAAATAAACATTGTTTTATCTCTGAGCCGATTTAAAAATTACTGTTCAAATTGTGGACTGTGTAAACGTAATTAGAAGGGGAATGGTAGGTTTATTTGAGATAGTTCGAACGTGACAACAAGCTATATATTGACTGGTTACAACTACACGCGAGAGTTGTCTAAAAGATCGATGATGAAGCCTAAGTAAGTGATTGCTAATTATAGTAGCACGAAAATATTGACCTAACGATGTTGGCATGCAGGCACAGACCTCACGATGGCGGAAGTTATTGTAAGACCTACGGGTGGTGACACAGAACTACATACATCATGATGGTTACATACAACCACACACATCACGACGGTTACATACAACCACACATCCAGTGATGTCTATGTAATATCACATGCATGCTTAGGTGACATAAAACGGTAGTAAAAACGAACAAAAAAACGCATGTATTAAAACCACACACATCATGATGGTGGCATAAAACCACACACATCATGATCATGACATAAAACGACACACGTCATCATTTTGACATAAAACCACACACATCATGATGGTGGCATAATACCACACACATCATGATGATGACATAAAACCACACATGATGACTGTGCCATTTAAGTTGTTGTAAGAAAAAATATTTAAAATAAAATAAAATAAAAAAGAATACATTCTACATATTCAAGGAATTTACAATAGAATCTGTTTCGCCTATTTTACTACGATTTCTCTAAATTACTATGTTGTATTGTGTTAAAAAATGAATGATGTATTGTAAATACCGTGTCCATTTAAATCAATCCAAGTTTTTAACTTACCTGCGCAGAGCGTGGGAGCTCTATCGGACTACTACATGTCTCTGATCTATTGTCACTTTGTACTACCCAATTTAACTTAAGAATTCTTTTTTTTAACGTGTAACTGGAAATGTTCAATAGTTTTCATTCATTGATTTTTTCATTCATAAAAAAATTAACAGTGGACTCTAGTTAGTTTTTGTGTGTCATTTTGAACGAGTGGGGGGGGGGGGGGTTGTATGTGCTCCAGGAAGAGGGCGGGGCATCAGGTCTAAATTAAGTCAGTTAAGGCAAGGTAGCAGAGTTTCTTCCAGGCAAAATATATACTTTTAACAGTGTCCGCCCCCCCCCCCCCCGAAAATTTCAAGTGCACCCCCGGAGAAAAAAGTCTGGAATAAGCACTGCATGGTAGTATCGTATTTTCTCTCTCTCTCTCTCCCCCCCCCCCCACATTGAGCTCCGACGGACGAAATAGAAAATATCTACTTTAACATGGGTCCACCACCCTCATAAGTTTCAAGTGCGTGCCCCCCCCCCCCCCCCTCCCGGGAGAAAACATCTGAATGAAACAGGTTGCTTAGAAAATTAAGATTAAATTTAGCCTTTTAGCACACTTTTCTATTGTGTCCATCTAGAAAAAAAACCCAAAGCTTCCTGTAATAAATCAAATCAGCATTTTAATCAGATATAGGTATCTAACGCACCCTTAACCTTAGCTATAACCTTCATAGAAAAGTTCACCTGCCTCAGGCACAACCATAAAATATTTTTTTAAACAATTTTTGTTATTAAACTCATCTCATCTCCACTTTCACTCAACACGGCGACTCTTCATTAAACACCCATTTTAAAACGTACCATGACTAATCTAACACTAACCCTAATGAGATAGAAACTGTTGTTTTATGTATCCGGGGTGGGTCGGTGTGTACCCTGGGAGGGCGAGGGTCGGTGTGTACCTGGGGTGGGTCGGTGTGACCAAGCACCGGAAACATCCAGGTGACAGTCGCAGAAGAAAGGAACGGAAACGTCGTACAAAGAAGTTTTTTTTCCCATGCTAAAATTCTTGCATAATTCTACCTCAACACCACACTGCTACAAAAACAAAGCTCAGTAGAGATGTTTTGATACTGCAACATCTTGATGTTTACTGAGAACATCATAAGTTGCGAAATCGTTAATGAGATAGTCAAATGTTTACTTTAATGTGCCATTGTTATTGCTGAGTCAACTTTGAAGGCCTTTGCCACTCTTCATATAAACTACTTTATCTGCCTTTGTTTAGTCGATCCAGATTTGAAATCACTATTCTATTCTATTTGAAAAATAGCGTTCTTTTTCTTGTATAAAAAACTGTCAAGTTTTATGGTTTAGAATTATGCTAAAGACAAGTCAGATATAAATATGTGAATTATAACTAATGAATAGTCCGTTATAATATTGTACTGTTAGTGTTGACAATGAGGAAAAATAGACAGGATATGGAGTGAGTCAAAAAATGTAGCCTAACTACCAATCAATGCTGTAAATATGCAATAAAATAACTGTTTATTACTATTTGTTGTTTGCTATGCTTGATTTTTAGTATGTAAATATGGTCTGTTTATTTTTAAACTACTGATTTTGTATGTGGAGCCTGGATGGTGTAACTTTTGTCATTTTGGAGTACTCACCTGGCCACGCCCGAATGAAAAAAATATTCCAAATGTAAATCAATGACTTATTCTGATGAATTCTTCCTAACCGAATTCTACATAACGTTAGTCCGTTTCAAAAAATAAGGTAAATCTGTGACTTCTTAAAATAATTGTCGAGTTAACAACACATGTTTGAACTCCCGAAGACCAGTCCCAGCAAAAGACACCTAAACTCTCACGAATCTAGCTAACCTGGGGCCGCGGGCGAACGTCGCACAACACACAACACGGCAGGTGATCAATACGAGACCCGACGCGACTTCCTCTCCTCACTTGAAGACAATTTTATTGTGCGCGTCCCGTCTGACGTCACTCGTCAAATATTTTGTTTTGATTTAGGGGGGACAGTAAAAAAAAAAATCACTAACTATATCACGTTTGAATCAGTGATTGCTAATGCTTATTTTATTTTAGGAAGCCCATTCGTTGAGTGTTTACGTGTATTGTATAAGTCTACGCCCATTTCCGTTGCAGTCTGTTATAAACGAGAACATGGGAGGGGGGAGGAGAAGGGAGCGTGTGTTGGATTTCTATGGTCACTGACAGGCGGTCCCAACCACTAGTTAATTAAGTTAAGGCGATAAAACACGCCCATGGTCAGGCTGCTTGATGCTGTTGACTTAGACGTAGTGCGCCCTGAGCTGAAGGCAAGAGCTAGGCTAAGGCAAGAAGAAGCTTTGGCTTTACTTAGAAAAAGTTTGTTGTTGTTTTTTAAACTTCTCACAATCAAGTCGTGCGACTCTAGTTGACACGACATACGTGTTACGTTGTTGGCCTACTTCAGCAAGACTATGGTTAGTGCTAGGTTAAGGCTATGGCCTACACTTGCAATAGGTTTAAAATTTGTTCAGTTATGTTGCATGATTTTTATCGTGATGTCAAATATAAAGCCAACGCCACAGCGCACCGTCATGTCTTCAAATAATATATTCCCCTTATCAGTTGTATTATTGTGTTTGCGTGTGTCACGGCTACCTAACACTAATGAGACCATTAAAAACGTGCAACGACATCATTTAAACCCCGGCCTATGGTGTAATACATAAGGTCCCTTCCCCCCTCCCCCCACCCTCGCCTATGATGAGTCACCTCCAGTGTGGGCACAGGTGTGACGGTGAACTGCCGAGCTTAGTAAAACACACACGCACACACACACAAACACAGGCCCACAAGTATACCACAACAAGCAGGGGAACCCCCTCAACAAACAAAGCCACTGCGGTCTTTGTGTTTGCGGGTTTTGACATGAAAGTAGACTGGTCCTATCACAGAGAGGCGGGGTGGGCAATGGCACAGACCGGATTTTCCCCGAGTTAAAAATAGGCTTGGAAAATTTTCGGTCAATAATGAAATATTGTTATTGATCCGAGTAATAAATGAAAGAAAGTGTTAAGAGCTAATATCAAGTTTCAGAATGCCATGGTTTTTTTTTTACTTGTGTGTAGAAAGACTGGCCAAGAAAGTATACATACGCTGTTGTTGAGTATAGTGTTGCACAATAGATATAGGCACTTCCATAAGGTTAACTTCTTGACCACGACAGAAGATCAGTGTTTCTTCCAGACTTTTTTCTCCGGGGGGGGGGGGGGGGGGCTCTTGAAATTTTATTTTCGGTGGGGGCGGACACTGTTAAAAGTATATATTTTCTAGATAAATTCCATTTTGTTCGGGGGAGGGGGGGGGGCTTCCGAGAGATGCCTATAAGAAACACTGCAAACAATCTAATGCTATAATCACCAATAGAGTCACACTCTAGTAGGCCCACCACACTCTAGTGGGTCCACTTTTATAATCACCAATAGGGCCTCACTCTGGTAGCCCATTTCTATAATCACAAATATGACCACACTCTAGTAGGAAACCACACTCTAGTATAAGGCCCACCACACTCTAGTAGGCCCACCACACTCGTAGGTCCACTGCTATCAACACCAATGAGTCCACACCCTCGGCTACCACTCTATAATTCGTAAACTCTGAGAATGGTACATATTTAATATTGTTACTCACATTTTTTTTCAGGCAAGATTTAAGTCAAGATTATAAAATGGCATACAAAAGTTTTGTCAGAGACAAGCACGTTTTAAGACAAAAAAAAACAGAGAGAGGGAGAGAGAGAGAGAGAGAGCAATTAAAAGCAGCGACAGGTGAAAGTGTTGAAAAGAGCCTTAATGACCATCCAGGGCACGACGTTTTCCTAAATGATTGACGGGTTGTAGCCTGGGGTTGGTCTGTGATGGGGGGGGGGGGGGGGGGGGTGAGAAAGAAGGGGAGCAAAAGAGGGGAAATGTCACTAGAGAATTAAAGAGCACAAACTGTGTGTGTTTTTTTTTAATTAGGCTTTAAAAGTTTAGATCACTAACCAAGCAGCCCAGAAAAAAAAACATTGTTTCACTTTGTACGAGTCCCGGACTGAGATCGAGAAGTAGGTCTATGTATATCGCCCCCTCCCCATTCCCCCCCCCCCCACCACTAAGATTTTAGCTTTATGGATCCTCCATAAATTACGTCAAGCATATCTTCACACAAAACCTACCCTCGTCCCTTATAAAATGACGTCACTCAGTCCCACCCACCTTAAAACATAAACTAAATGAAGAGTCATAAATGTTTTTTTTTCATCAGTTTAGCCCTTAAAAAAAACGATCAGAATATATTATACTTTGCATTCCTTTAACACCCCCTCCCCAATACATCACATCGCCAAATATCTGAACCTCCACGCCTTATCGTAATATGACGTCATTTATTTTATATAATTTATGACATGACAATTTTCGCGCTATTATCTCCTATATTAGATCACATTAAAAATGTTTTTGATTACTAATATAACAATTCTGCAGCATTTTTTTTTTGGTGGTTGTGTGGGATCATTAAAGTCAAAAACGTTCCTTAATCCTTAAGCGGCGGCTCTTCCGAATATCAACTAAGTTTCCCTTTACTCTTCTTGTCTGTAAGGACCAGCAACTCCAGCTCTCCAGAGTTATCTATCTTGGTTCATTTTCTCCATTTGACTTCGTGTGACCTAGCTTGGCCCCTAGACTTATGGGTTATCCTTAAAGGACTCGACACACCCAAGGGAAGGAATCGGGGGTATTTTACCTGAGTGTTATGGCTTTAATTTATTGCTTTAATTTGTAAGAGCCTTACCACACGTATACATACAAACGCACACACGTAGCGGTCCATGGGCAGGTGAAGTAGACTACACCTTTGCCCATGACCTCAGCATATTATTAGCAGAGATAGTGTGGTCAGCACAATGCCCAGCCATCTTTTCCTGACGTGATTCAGCCACCCATCAGAGCTGGGTTGACTCAGATGATCCGAACTCAAGACTTAATGGTTAGGTGTCGTACGCTCCACTATCAGACCACGCAGTCTTATTTAGTGTATATTCACTTTGAAAAACATAGACCTCAGTCACATATGAACCAAAATATAGCCTACTATATAGCCTATATTGGAGGGCGCATTATTGACGGTTAGCCTCAGAGTGGGTCGCTACGCCTGTTAACCATAGTCCATGAGATACTGTTAACACTGCATCATAGATTTTATTACACACTTCATGATGATCTAGCTGTATTTGTTTAACTGATATGATATTATAGAGATGTAAATTTAACTTCACAACATTTGAAATGGTGGACAAATGTTCGATACAATGTTATTGCATTAATTTTAAATCGATACGTGAGTACTCTAGATATTGGGTCTAAAAATGCATTCACGTGGAAATATTACTTGTCATAACACAGTTTTCTAAACTAGGCTCTGTACATAGAATTCAAAGTCTAGTCATAATTGTCCAACGTATCAGTATTGTTTAGCTCAAGCCATTTGGAATAACTCCTCATTGGTTCTCGTAAACCTGTATCGTGCTCATTGCATTTGTGACAGATGTTGTACCACAAGAAGTAATCTATAGGGTATTTGTTCTAAAATGTAACATTTGTGGTACACTATATCCTGCGAAACGAAACCGGTTTCAATGTCCCCCTACCTAGCCAGGTCTGATGGGCTACAGACATGTCCATTGAACGTTACAGAGTTCATCCAGATCTTATGGATGCCTGACTTGTCCATTGAACGCCCGAGTCCACCCAGCTCTGGTGGATACCTGGTCCATCCACAATGTCCCCCCCCCCCCCCCGATACATCATTTTATAAAGTTTTCTATCTCATTATACCGTTATGTTGTATCCACGTTGGCCACATGACTTGCACAACAGCATCAAGTTTATAATATTTTGAGGCAGCAACAGCCACTTTACAGCAGAATTTAAATATCACTTAAGTCATACACTTGTCAAATAATCAAGACCAACTTATAATTTTGAATCAAGTTTTATTTCAATAGTTTTTCAAGAAAAAAAATTTCATCTCCTACAAATACAATACAAGCAAATGTATAATATAGTTTACTACTAACCAAAACTAGAGATAATACTGGAGTTCGTCTAAGTTTTTGTGTTCATTTTCACCTAACCTAAAAAAATATTTTTTTCTTAAAGTGTTTTGTTTTAGATAACATCTATTATCTAGGTGTAGAACCCTACATCATAAATCAAGGTTGAAACACAAAAGATGGGTGAAACACAAACAGCTTGTTTTGTTGGCTAGAAAAACAACCTAATCTACCCATAGCTGTTGGGGATATGTTTATAGATTATGTATGATGGTTGTGACATGTTTAAGCAAGATAACTATTAAACACTAAAAACTTGTAGCTTACATAAAATAGAAATATTGAAATATGTGTATCTGATATTTTTGATGTTATGAAAGCATACAATGTGGGTGAGTTGTTAAATGACTAGTGGCAACTTGGCCCTAACTCACTTTCTGTGATGACGCCATACCCGGGAGTAACTAACTGGCCAGTAAATGAAACAGTGTTATGGTCATTACAATTATTTGAATAGTACAATTGCTGTCAATTGCGATTCAATTTTTAAAAAATAATTATTTGTGAATATTATTAAAAACTTTCTAAGAAATTAAAGAAAATATTCCAAAATATTTCCAGTCAATTATTAATTTAATTTCTTGTGTCTTGTCGTCTTTCAAAATTATAAAATTAAGAGTCTTTATTTTTTGCTAAGTAAAAGTGTCCCTTTCCAGCATTATATAATTTAAAACACCTCTGTGATGAGTCGTATTTTTGACATGTGAGAAAGAAACATTTTTTAAAGATTCAGCACATCCATTCTCTAAGCACATAGCTTAAGTCGCTGAGAATAATATTATAATGGGTTATATGGCTGACAAGATGTCAATGACAAAATCACCACTGACATTTGTGCCAAGATAAAATATTTGCCAAGGACAATATATAAAAACATTTCCATCTGAGGAGTACTATCTGAAATAGTACTCAACTCATTCTAATGATTGTTACACATTCCAATCACAAGTGTTTAGTAGCAAAGGTAAATTTAGATTGGAAAACTTTCCTCAAGTTTTAAAAAACTTGAACTGGAGCATAAAATGATAAGATTTTCAAACTATAGTTCCACTCCAAAGACATTTTAACTAAAACTAAACAAAAGTTAGGTAACTTTCATTAGTTTTATGACTACGAGACAAAAAAAACATTGCATTTCATCTACACTCATTAAGACATCTTTGCATCAATCATCTCAAACTTTCACCTCATATTATAACTTATCCATTTAAATATTCTTAAACACAAAAATGTCATCAAGCTCTCACCCCTGTTTCAACTTACAAATATCTCATTTAGTAATTTACGAAACTTTATAACATTCAAAGTAAAACATTAAGCTATTTAAAATAATTTTTGCTTGTTAAAAAATTGTAAACACCCAGACTCTGCTGAATTACACAGGAGTGTGAGCTACATTAAGCAAAGGAAAAACCAATGGCATAAAATAAGATTTATTTGTCTTTAAGTACTGATACAAGTACAATCAAACATTTGATTTTTTCGTGATTATGCATGAGCTTCCACTATAGCATAGCTAAATGGAAAGAGAAAGAATACAAATCACATCAAAATGTTTAGATAAGACGTCACGGCCAATATGTTTGGGTCAGGTTACTGATAATTCAGTGACATCTCAAGTTTCAAATTCTATAAAAAAATAATCCAATCCTGATATAAAGAAACTTTCTGATTTTTATATTTTAAATCACTGGAAAGTTCTTGAATAATGAATACAAGCATTTAGTTGAGAATAAATTTACAAAGGACCTCCAAAAAGTAGCAGAGGTCATAAAATACACTGACCACAGACCACAAACCTGACTAATTTAACATTTTTCATAATTCTAAATGAACATCTGCCACAAAATTTCTAAATACAACACTAGTCTCAACACAAGATATGTGCCAATTTTAAAAATCTCAGAATGTTTGTAAATATTTGTGTACAACTGTCTCAATAATAATCACTGTTGGGTTTTGATGTTTTAAAAACAGACTATTTACAACAATTAAAATAAAACACTATTTACAAAAAAATCTCAGGAAAAAAAATATTGCACATGGTTATACATTCATTGATATCAGAGAAGCACCACCAACAAAATATGGCTTTTAACACTACCAAAAAATAAGCAAATGCTTCTAACTTAAAATTAGAAACGATTTAAGCCAATTACCAGGTGAGGAGAAATTGTAAGTAAAATAGTTACAACTTTAGTTTCACTTTGTTTCTTAACAATGCAGAGATGAATACAGTGAAGACCAGCTCTTAAATAACTGAGTTTTCTTGGTCTAACAATGCATTATAGAAACCTAGGCAAGCATACTGACATATATAGCAAGAAAAGAAGAGATTTATTTATGCGTGCAGTGTCTGAAAGATGGTGGTCAACAGTAGCTTGGAATTTATTTACCTTATGCACAGTAAACAATTTATACTTAACACATATGTGGTGTGTGTGATGTATTATTCAAGGAAGTGGATGACTAAATCAACAACAGCGACTCTCCCCTTCTGCCTCAGCAAGTTGTACTGTTTCTTTAGGGCGTGCAAAGCCAGCCTTGACGCCATCCCAGCCCTCTTCTATTTTGATATGACCATCCTGTAAATGTTGATATGTGTCTTTTGCTATAGAGGCAAATGCTTCTTCCACGTTCTGCCCACTCTTTGCTGATGTTTCAAAAAATTTTAGTCCATGCATTTCTGCAAAACGCTTTCCTTCTCTAAATGTGACTTGTCTTCTCTCTTCATTGTCTGCTTTGTGTCCCAGGATGACAAAGATTGCCTTGTGAGGCTCAATGTGTTCACGTGCCTCCTCATACCAGTCCTTCAGATTTTCAAAACTGCTTCTCTTTGAAATATCATAGACAATCATAACACCTACTGAATTCCGATAGTATGAACGTGTGATCGATCTAAAGAGAAAAAAAGACAGATTTTTAAAATAATAGTTTCACAAAACTATTGCAAATCATGTATTGTATATGTGGTACTTATTTTATATCTACGGATACAGTAGCTTAATTACCCACTGCTGACTTAAAAGTATACATTTTAAATACAGGATAAATAAAGTTGAGTGAAGCTAAGTATGTTGATGACCTGACCCCATCTTTTTAAAAATCATCTTTTTTCAACCTCTCTCAACAAATGCCATGGCAATGCATTTTATTACTAGGAACGTATCTCTAAGACATTACATTTATGGGGGCATCTACTCTAGCAGTACGATCTACTCATGTATTGCTTATTTATGATCCATAGAGTTTGTATTATATTGTATTACATATTTATCCCAATGTCAATGAGTATGAGACAAACCTGCACTAATGATGAGTAATGTAACCATGTCTTGTTTTGTTCAAGAGTATTAAAATTTGTTTAACTTTTGATTACTAAAATTACTTTGATGATTACTTTGTTATTAAAATAGAATAGCCAACTAGCAAAAAGTAACATTCACAAAACTTAATTAGGCCAACTAAACTAATCAGTAGTCAGTAGGCCTTGCCTTATCCGTTATCCCTACTTAAAAAGTACTTGATTTAAACACTTATCACTTCTTACTTTTACTCTTACTAGAATCTAGATTTTTAATTTACATTTTAGTTTTTAGTAGCCCAGTTCCTGCAACAAAAGAACTAGATCTATAACAATTAACAAGGTATCTAGATTCTAGATCTAAAATGTACCTGAATCGTTCTTGACCAGCAGTGTCCCATAGTTGAAGTTTAACTCTAACGCCAGGTTTTACTTCCATTAAACGAGCATAGAAGTCTACGCCTACAGTAGGATCACAAGCTTCATCAAACTTGCCATCTGTAAAATAACGAAGCAAGGAGGATTTACCTACTGTACTGTCTCCGATCAAGATAAGTCTAAACTGGTATTCAAAAATTGGATCACACATTTTCGTTTATGGCAATTAGATCTAATCAACGTAAGATTTTCTATGCAACACTTTCAGTACTAGAGAAAGTGTGTTGCTTGTAGATGGAATAAATAATCAATGCATCATTATCATCGAGCTCTTTTGCGTATTAATGCAACTTCCTGTTTTTGCGTAGAATCTAGTTGTGTTTATATCACGTGATAGGCCTACTGCATTTATATTGATCTAAAAATAGACTCTGGCAATGCTGAAGGTCTACTACTAAAGTTACTTTAAGTTACAGTACTAAAGTAGTCTATGGTATTAAATATAGATCTAATAAGTCTATGATGGAGCTTTTGTTACCGTTCTTGACTAAGGGATTACCCCGTTCTTAACTCTAAACTGGAGTCTAAACCAGTCAAGTTTAGTTTGCTTATTTATTTATTTAATATAGAATATTATAGAAGTCTAGCTAGATACTAGATAGAATCTAGATCTAGATCTAAATTCTAGGGCCAGGGCTAAATTACTAAAATTAGGGTAATCTATCGTTTTAGGTTTAGGTACGTAAAATCGCCCGCGACTAGTAATGTACGAAAAAGTTGGTAATCTATCGTTTTAGACTTGGCCGATTCTAGTCGGAATAAGATACGCATGCGATACGCATGCGCAATGGAGAGAAACTACGACTTGCCTTAACGGCGATGTTTTCGATGGTACTGCGCATGCGTGTGTTTACAACCGCAGAACCCTAATACCAACCCTAATCCTATCCTTAACCCTATCCCTAATCCTATCCCTAACCCTAGCCCTAATCCTAACCCTAGCCCTAATCCTAACCCTAGCCCTAATCCTATCCCTAACCCTATCCCTAATCCTACCCCTAACCCTCATTCTAGCCCTAACCCTAGGTCACTGCGCATGCACAGAACTATCTTTTGCCGAAAAATCTTATTCCGAGTAGACACTTCGTTTAGACTTAGGTAGGTAAAATCGCCCGCAACTAGTAATGTGAAAAACAGGTGACTCCTTAAATTTTAATAATTATTTCACATTTTGAGGAGGATTTATGTTTTGAAAAATACAAAAATATTTCCTTGTTTAATTTTAATAATTTATGTACCTGTTTTTAAACAACTGAATTAAAACTTTCCAGTAATAAATGAAGACTAGCGATGTTTCCAACAGATGCAACCATGCTCATTTACTATAGCAGCCATCTTATTTTTATTTTTTAAAATTGTAAACTTATAGCGCAAGATTCAGGGGAAGCCACTCTAACTTACAGATGGCCGCTTTTTATATAGCAAAACCTGCTCGCAAACACTGCTGTTTAAAGTTAATTTCTTGCCTAATCAATCGGGCAGGGTGCTATTGGGCGCCCCGGGTTATCCCGTGAGCACAATGGCGCCTACATTCATTTTAAACAGTGCGATAGACCATGGATACAAATGGGGCATTATAGTCATTCACTAAACTGAATCAGGTGCGTCCGCATAGGGTGCAAATTGCCCGGGCTATCCTTGGATGTTCTTGTAACCCCACGGTAATAGTGCAGGGATGGGCACGCTAGTTTAAAATATAATAGTATTTATTAGTATTTAAAATCAAAGTCTATGAGTTTATTTTGTATCTTTTTAGAATGCTCTTTAAAACAAATTTAGGTGCTATAGTTCTTGTAGGGGAGCCCAGGGTTGTCCTGGTTACTTAAGTGTATGAGGATGCGCATGGTGAAGTTTAATCATTTATTCAATTAGTATCTCTGATTCCCTGTGCATGATGTCTAAAAACAGACCCCAGGTGCTGAGGTACCCAGGGTAACTTGGGAAGCCCAATCGCATATGGCCTCCAGTGCACTGCACCTCCAATATTTAACATTTTGATGTGATATTATGCCAGAAACCTCTCTATAAGTGTAGTGAACAACTTCTCTAAGTTTCATGGTGATTGGATGAATGGTATAGTAAGCATTAAGTATAAGCAGCTGGGCCCCAATTCTGCCTTTAGTAGGGTACTCTTTAAAACAAATGCCTGCACCTAAATACTCATGTGCAAGTTTATGCACTCTTGATTACAAATTTATAATTACAAGCTTTTGAATTAACTAAAAATAAAAAAATAAACATATTTTCTATTTTTAAAAAATGTATATATAAATTTAAGAATGTTAGTCTATAGGTCTATTGAAGATACTTTAGTGTGACCGAAACATTTACTTATATAGATCTAACAACTTATATTTATGAATTAAAAATACAGAAAAGGATGCTTATTTTAAAAGTCTTTTCTCTTTCCAAAATCAAGTTACTGCCAAGCCCTCTAGTCATGTAGTGAAAACATTTATTCATGAAATTATTTAGATTATTTTAGATCAATAAGAGGCATACATGAATACATACTAAGACCTTGAGTTAATTTTGTATATTTATAAAAATGTATGCTTTTATATATAGAATCTACGTACATTCAGAAATAATGATTTGCTTACAAGTTTAAAGAATAAATTTTTGAATTTGTAGAATGGCCTGAGATTGTCATAATTAGTCATGAGCAGTTATGTGGAGCTTGACCACTCTCCACAAGAGAATCAAAGTAAAGACAAAGAAGAAGAGTCATTAAAATTAATTGACAAACCAGATGTAAATGATGAAGTTAGACACCGTGCCCGGTCTGTTATCAAGATAATTTACTCAAGGTAAACTAGTTTTGAAGGCCTACTAAGAATAATCAAATAGAATTTTAAAACAGAAATAGTTATTAATGTACACCCACTAACAAGTAAGTTGTTAAGCTTAGTAATTATTATGTAAGTTAGAAAATATTGAAAAGAAGATTGTATTGTGAATTAATTTACAAAATTAAAAACTCTGGTCTGTGTTCTGGATAAAAGTAATTTTCTATATGAGTTTTCCAATGTAGTGATACTTTATTCAAGTTCTCATTTCATATTTAAATAGTTTTGAATTAATTTATAAAAGATGCATGTTTCTTGCATAGATCTTGCCTACTGGGATGATTATTACAGTGGTGGTTAAACAACTAATAATGCTTATTGAATTTTTCTTTATAAATCATATATTGACACTAAACTTAAATGCACATTTCATCATCTAGGCAGTTCCTCCAGGCTCTTTTGCTAGGACAGTGTTTGTCTATTTTGCTGTGTGGAACTGGTGTTTTCTCTGGTCTGCTACAGAATAGGGGCATTAACATTCCTACAGGTAAACATGGGAGACTACCCACTTATTCAAATTAATGGAAGCAAGTTAGGTGTTGCTTGTGTGATAAAAAAAACCTGAAACTGTATACATTATATATTTCTGTTTCTTTTTACAGCTCAAAGTTTCCTTATGTACTGCGCCTTGTGTCTTATTTTTACAACACAACTTGCATATAAACAAGGGGAGAGAAATCTTGTAAACATTTTAAAATCATTTGATGGCTTGAAATATGCCCTTATTGGGTTGATTGATGTTGAGGCTAATTACTTGGTTGTGAAAGCATATGGGTATACATCAGTTACAAGTGTGCAGGTAAATGTATACTTCTCTTCTTATAATGTTTAGCACATTTATAGTGGAAAAAATTTGAATCCAACTTTGCTAAAACTTTGCCACAGTTAGTCCATTGGAAACTCTAACTTTATGTGATGTTGAATCCACAGCATATTTATTATTTGACCAGTATAATATTTTAAACATGGTTTTATCAGGTTTACATGTTCATAAAGGACCAGCTTAGCCTGAATTTAAACTAAAATAAATACTTTGGTGTGGCGATCTTGCACTTATGTCTTCCTCACATTGTATTTTCAAAAATTGGAGATAAAACATTAAATGGAAACTAAAATGAACATTAGAAGTGCATATTTTAATAGGCATGCCTTATATTATTTTATAAATAAGATTTATCTGCTTGTAAAACTGCTTATTGATTACTTTAAGTACCCAATACCAGTAGTGTCACCAACTCATTCTGTTTGTATGTACTTGTCAACCGTATAGTTAATTTTAGTGGCATAGTTAATTTTAGAGGTATAGTTAATTTTAGAGGTAAAGTTAATTTTAGAGGTATAGTTAAAGTTTGTGGCGTAGTTAATTTTAGTGGCATAGTTGATTTTAGAAATATTATTAGCTGCTTTTCATTTTTTAACTTTATTTTTAAAATTTCAGTTGCTTGATTGCTTTAGTATTGGGGTAGTCTTACTACTTTCACGGTTTCTTCTCGGCACCCATTACCATCTGATCCATTACGCTGGTGTTGCTGTGTCTGTCTTAGGATTGGCTGGACTAGTCACTGCTGATGTCATTACTGGCAAAAACCAAGACAGCGGTAAGATGTTACAATGGGTTCCCATGCAATACATTACTCTCGGTACCCAATACTGTAATAATTTTTTTACATTGGAAGATGTACATTGGAAAATGTTTCACCCTCTTTGAACACTCATAAAGACTTTGAAACATCATGAATGGTTATTTAGCTAGATTCAAACACATAAAACCTTGTCCATATAATTGATCATCCAAGACTTCCTTAAAGCTGTATAGACATAAAGGCTAGAATTTTTTTAAATATAATATTGCACTTGATGTGTTATATTACAAGTACATTATCATAATCAAAGCTGTGGAATTATTCTTTAAATATAGATATTGACATTTCACTTTGTAACTCTGTAGGTTCAAACATAGTGCTTGGAGATGTGCTTGTAATCTCTGGTGCTGTCCTGTATGGTGTGAGCAATGTCGCTCAAGAGTTTGTGGTTAAAAACTACAACAAGTCCGAGTTCCTTGGCATGCTGGGCATGTTTGGTACACTGGTTTCTGGAATACAGGTGTGAGTAACACAGAAACTGTGAAAGTTGTCTCAAACCTATGTGTGTGGTTAACCAGTGGTCGCCCGTTACTGAGTTTATATGAGCATTTTGACAAGATCCATTAAACTTAACTACTAATAAAAACTAGGGACGATGTGTTCAGATCAAAGAGTGCTCGAACACTAACCCAAAACTCTAGTGTTTGGACCTCTGTTCAGGCTTGAATCTGCAGGATGTCCATATAGCTTTGATGGGTACCTGACTGACGTTAGAGAAAGTAAAGACAGCTGTGCTAGTACTGACCACACCATCCCTTCATCTGATGAGGTGAAGAAATGTGAAATCTTCTACATCTGCCCTATGGATCATTAGTTCTGAAAGGGGAACTTTACTAATGAAGACTAACTTGTTACATTTTTACATAACATGGTGTATCATTTTGTACTTTATGATAACTAATCAATTATCACTGGTGTTTCAGGATATTAGTTGAACAAAAAGAACTAGCTAAGGTTAATTTTTCCTCATATGAAATAGGTAAGCAAGTAGAAATGTAAATATTGCAATGTTTAGTCCTGGCTTGGGCTTGTTAACATTAAAAATATCAATACTAATTATGTAAAATAATTTTAAGAAAACTTTTCATGTTAAAACTCCCGGCAGTTTGCTATCAGTGCTGCTATCATAAAGTAGTCAAGATGTATAGGTTACCTCCCTGCAACATCTTATTTAGTAATGTAATATATTTTCCAATTTTGTTTCAGCTCTGCTGTGGTTAGGATTTTGCATATTTTTGTTCCTGATCTACACATGTATGTCCATTGTGATAGAGAAAACAAGTGCCACAGTAACAAACATTTCTGTCCTTACAGCAGACTTCTATGCTCTTCTCTTTGGCATTTTTATTTTCGGATATACAGTAAGTTGACTCGTTTGGCACCAGCTGTCAAAATAAAATTTTGTGAAACCACAGATCAATAATGATTTTAATTTCCCCAAATACACAAATATGGCAACAGCAGTTGCCTAAAGAAGTGCAACTGAGATGTACACATTAGCACAAACATAAATATTGTACACTTGTGTTTACATGTTAAACATATATCATCACATGTATGTGAAGTGTTTTATTTGTAAGAAAGCAGAAACTAAAAACAGATCTTTTTGTCATCTTTGTTTTAATTACCTGCCCATATTTTAACTAACTATGGTAAAAAAAATGTGCATGAGCACACCACTTTAGCATATTGCATGAATTTACAAAAGCATTCTGTAGTTTTCTGTAGGAAAATATTTTAAAAATTTAATTTGAATCATAATTAGCAAAATACAAACCTATTGTAAAACTGATATTTTTAAATATCATTTTTTTTTCAGTTTCACTTTCTTTATTTGATATCGTTCATGGTGGTTATTGTTGGAGTAGCTGTTTACAGTTTTCGAACAACACAACCTTGTCCAAATCCAAGCTCTGGGTGAAAAACATCTAGGTTGTAATAAAATTGTTTTAAAAATATTCTATTTATATGACAAAAAGTCACTTACAGACTTACAGAGAGTGTATGATCAAAAGTAAAGTAGTTAAAGCATTTATTATATATGTAATTATACTTACATTATACTGCTGTTATCTTTATTTTGAAATATTATAAATGATATTATTTATTAAAGATACTATTTTGCAAGATATGTGATGTTTGTTTAAATATATCTTTAAAAATTGTTTACTCAGACTAAATTTAAAAAATTTATTTACACTATCAAAATGATAATTGAAATGGATGAGTTCTGCCTGTGTTTAAAAGTGTATATTATTAGGTTTTTAAATTTTATTTTTACCACTGTGGTTTTAGTGGTTAAAAAAGCACTGGTCAAGCTGGCGTAGTAACTTACACATTGCGTGGACAATTCTGGTGACTGAGGTGTACAAGCAATGATATCAAAAGGCTGAGATTTGTAGATTGAGTTATGGTATCATTATTCATGTATGAATCCATTATCTAAATTAATGCCTATTCTATGGGATTAGATCAGGCATATTTATTGCCTCAATTAGGTGCTTGCACCACCATGACAGAAGATGTCTCAGCACTCACTCAACACAGCGTTGTAACTTAAGAGATTGGATTTCTTTGGCATAAGCAATCATTCCATTTTGTCCATTGTGACAATTGTATTGAAATGATCAACATTAAAAATTGTAAGATTGGGAAGTAGATGGTGGAAAAATATGATCATAACACCTAGTTTGATCCTTAATCATAATCTTTCATTGAGTCTTGTATAGTAGTAGGCCTTTATAAGCTAAAAATTGAAATAAATGTCATTCATAGAGCAACATTTAATAATAGTTAAAAGGTGGCTTTCAAGATAGGAATGTAAACTTGTGGGAAGTAGTAGACAATAGCAGTAGCTTGATCGAAAAACATTTTTGTTGGAGGTGGTGATAACTCTTCACATACACCACTGTATGTAGGGCCTGAAGGCATGTAGGCCTATGTGTAAAATGGCTTTAGGTTATTAATTTATGATCTAAGCGCAAATCACTGAGTTAAAAGATTAAGAAATAACTTGGTGTCAACCCTTCCCATCTCGGGTGGATTGTGTCATCCCATGCTGCATGTTTCCAACTATTAGGTTACGTCTGGTATTATTAGTATTAAATCAACCCGACAAAACGTTTCTTACTTTTGAGTCGGATGTCATCCTTCTCACCTCCAGCGTTTCTTCCAGACTAAAATTTCAGGGGGGGGGGGGGGGTGTGACACTGGTAAAAGTATATATTTGCTATATAAATTCCATTTCGTTGGACGGGGAGGGGGGCGGTAGAAGAAACTCTGCCCACCTCCATATCATGGTGCCAATAAGCACAATGGCCTAAACCAGGGGTCTACAAACTTTTCAGCCTGAGGGCCGCATTAATTATCAAATATCAGTTCGGGGGGTTCTTTAAGGCATCTCTTCAGGAAGAGAAGAAGAAGGTCAACCCCCCCCCCCCCCCCCCAACGAAATACAATTTATATGGAAATATTTACAATTTTCAAGTGTCCAACCCCCCCCCCCCCCCCCCCCCCCCCACGGAGAAAAAAATCTGGAAGAAACACTTTCGGGGGTCGACAACACACTCGAGGTCCAAGTTTGCTCTCAAATTGTTCTTCACGTATTTCATTCTTGAAAATGTTTGTTCACTCAGGTATGCTGTTTTAAAATTTGAAAGGTGCTTTGATGCAGAAGCTTTAATATTAGGAAAGTCATACTTGTGCAAAAACTTATGAAAACCAATTCGCCCTTCTTTGAACGTGTCTCTAAGGAAGTCATTTTCTTGCAATTCAAGGACCTCCAGCTCCAGTTCATCTTTGCAACTGGCCACATTTGCTTCAAATGAAACAGTCTCACTTCTTTTGCCTTTAAATCCAAGCCAGAGAACCTACTGAAACTGCAGCTGGAGGTCTTTGATGATCATATGTAAATGACGTGGGGAATTCATTGGTTGCTTCAGCCGTAAAGACCTTGCACTGCTGAAAGTGCGTCAAGTTGTTGGCCTGTACTTGTTCCAAATACATGACAAGTTTGGATCTGAAGGCCTTTAGGTGGGTGTATAGATAAGAATTAAAGAAACTAGATTTCCCTCTCTTGCCGTTTTAGGTTCAGAAAATTTAAAAATGAGGCCAATTTCTATACCCACTCTTCATCAGACAATAATGGCTGTGGCTTGCCTTTACTTTTAAGGAAGTCACCTATTTCCTTTCTTAACTTAAATACGTCTGTTCAGAGCTTTCTCGCAAAATTAGCCATCTTATGGTAAATCTTGCGATTTTGTGTTTGTCTCTGAACTATCTATGGGATATCCTCTCCGGTATCAGTGCCATACATTCTATGTAGGGAAGCCAGCTCTTGTGTTATGTTCATGTCTTCATCCACACCTCTAATGAACACAAGCAGTTGAGGTGGAACAACTGTTCAGCGACTCATCCATTGCAATTGAAAAATGGCGAAGCTTGCTTGCATTTTTCTCTATTTGAGTCATGATGTTATCACCAATGTCTGCAACACGGCGAGCAATGGTATTTGCACCCAAAGCTACATTTTCAAATTGTTTTGAATTTTCTGTGCAAAGTTCCTCAGTAACCTCTAACAACATTTATTCAGTGGACAAAAAGATCGTCGCGGGCCGGATGAAATGACCTCGCTTACCGCATCCGGCCCGCGGGCAGTAGTTTGGATACCCCTGGCCTAAACTATAAACCATTTTTGTTCTCTTATACTTATACAAAGTTTAACTGAGCGAGAAATTGTTTTCCCGTGTACATTTTAAAGGTTTTGACTTGCTATCACCGCCAAAGGAAAACCTAGATTACTGATGTGTAAACTGTAAAACTAGTCTAGCGCGCAATTAGCTTCTACACTTGCAGATGACATCTTGACTCATGCTAAACCTTGAAATTTGAGTGTGAATGCTATTTCCCAATAGGCCTAATTCGCTTTTCTCTGATATTTTTTTTCTTTCATTTCCATTACAATTTTACACAAAACACGCATATGATAATTTTCGACCATGTGTTACGCGATTGGTCGTTGCGCGGTCTACTATTTTAGGTAGGCCCTAGGCCCCTAACGGGTTTTGAAGACATAAACAAGTGTTTCATTGAGCTCAGCATATAGGCTAAATTAATTAAAATTATGAAGGGATAGAGTGATCAGCCCAACCCAGTGGCGTAGGCAGGGGGGGTTAGGGGGGGTCATAACCCCCCCCCCCCATAGACCCCTCGGTATATATAAAAAGTATGAGGGGGGGTGCAAATCGAAAGTTTGAAGGGGGGGGGGTGCAAATCGAAAGTTTGAGGGGGGGGGTGCAAATCGAAAGTTTGAGGGGGGGGGGGGTGCAAATCGAAAGTTTGAGGGGGGGGGTGCAAATCGAAAGTTTGAGGGGGGGGGGGGGGGGTGCAAATGGAAAGTTTGAGGGGGGGGGGGTGCAAATCGAAAGTTTGTCCCCGGGTAAAAATTGGAACCCCCCCCCTTGAGACGATCCTGGCTACGCCACTGGCCCAACCAACCACTTAATGTCCATAGTATTATTAGTATAGTGCCGCAAAGATCTAACTGCGGCTATGATAACCAACTTAAAGTTGGCAATAATAATAATTTCTTCAAATCGCGTGACCGTTTGAAACCGTAATTTTTAGAAAAGAAAAATGATGCTTATGAATGATATTGGAAATTTAAACAAATAATTCAATGTAAACAGAAACGTAGGCCTAGGCTTGATCAAGCGTATATTTAGCCTCGGCCCACCGCCCTAGAATGAAGCTTTTTAAACAAACGTTTCATCACGTGACTGTGTGTTTAGAAAATGGTTGCCCTTGCGTTAGCCCAGTATGGAAGCGGGGCCGTTATTACGGCGTTGTTGCATCCATTTGGCTATGCAAAAGTGCTAATGCAGGTAAAATGGGAACTAGTTATGTTAAGTGAGTAACAAGACTGATAAGTATTCTCTTTTACAATGATGTCACTGTTAAATTATTAAAAAGGCTATGCCTCCGGATGACCGACATCTCGAATCTCAGTGACAGTGGGTTTTTTATTTGTCGTTTCACAGTTGAGAGTTGTGTTCTTGCAAAGACGCAATGTAAACAGATATAGACTCTAGATTTAGATCTAGAGTGAAGTTCCACAGCCCTGTTTTTTTATCGTCCTGTTTTACTACATCTAGAATAAATCTAGATTTTCTAGATCTAGATGTCGCAAATCTTCTGCAAGTTTTTTTTTTCTCATTTCTGTGTTTCTTAAAAAAACATTAATTTTATTACTAGTACTACACTCGACTTTATTAATTATTAATTACAATAATTAGCACATCCACTTAAAATAATTAGAAATACAAAAAAAATAAATCGAAGTGTCTATTCACAGTCGTGACCATTTTTTGATAGATAAAATGTTAAAAAAAACCTACTTTAATATTATATGAAGTGTGGTTGAGCGGACATGGGGAGTGGCTGGCGTGCCGGAAGGTGTGGGTTCAAACCCATCAGATGCCTTATCGCTGTGACCTTTTATTACTCTTCATGTATACCTCTTATTTTCAAAGTAATTTTCCCAGTTACGCATGGAAGGGTTACTTTTGTTAATATTTTTGGTGATGTAATTGTTTTTTTATCGAGAAAAAAAAGACCTGTCCCGTAGATTTTTGGTAACTGTGAATAATAGCTGATGAAAAAGGACATCCTATTTGTATTTCACCTCTGATATTTATTCTAGGTGAATTTTTAATGGTAATTGATAGTTGAATAGCAATGTGAACAACCAACTAAACTGATGTTTAATTAGTATTATTTATTTTAAAATTACTAGATCTATTAGTCTAGCATAATTGATCATCTATGACCTATATAGCCATAGGAGATTTTCTGTAATGAGCATAAAAAATGCTAAACTAAACTTTAAAACTTTTAAATAAAAATATAACACAATAAATATAGTACTGCTCTCTTATTCTTAATCTATACCTCACTCCCCAGTCACAATAAATGCTTTTATTATTGTAAGATATTATTTCCAGTCGTATTTAGCGTGAAATGGCAGCCGACTGTGAATAGCCATATTTGGGCTATTCACAGTCGGCTGGGAATAGCCCCAATACGGCTATTCACAACCGGCTGGGAATAGCCGTGGCCTTATTAAAAAGGCTATGCCTCCGGATGACCGACATCTCGAATCTCAGTGGGTTTTTTATTTGTCGTTTCACAGTTGAGAGTTGTGTTCTCGCAAAGACGCAATGTAAACAGATCTAGATCTAGAGTGAAGTTCCACAGCCCTGTTGTTTTTATCGTCCTGTTTTACTACATCTAGAATAATTCTAGATCTAGATCTAGATGTCGCAAATCTTCTGCAAGTTTTTTTTTCTCATTTCTGTGTTTCTTAAAAAAACATTAATTACTAGTACTACACTCGACTTTATTAATTATTAATTACAATAATTAGCACATACACTTAAAATAATTAGAAATACAAAATAATTAGCAAAATAGTATTTAAAATGCAACTAAAATCAGTCAGGGGGAAATGTATGGCACACCAAAATAAACCTAAAAGAACATAATTTGGCAAATGCTGGAATTGAATATAATATACATGCCTCTTGTCACCACTTGTTAAGATTGCCTCTTGAGTTTACCTATATGTTTTATTTTAGTGCTGTTCTAGTGATGTTGGTAGGCGATTTAGGATGTAGCGCTTGATGGGGTCAGATGATAGAGAGCACAACTCTTGATCAAAAGTCTTGAGTTCTGATCTCAGACTGGAGTCCATTGGACATCCCTAAGGCAACTCAGCTCTAATTGTCATAAAATAAAACCAAACATTATTTATCCAGGTTGGACATGAACCTTTGGCACCAGAAAGTACTACAACATTTTTGTTCCGCAAAGATGTGTATGTTTATCCAAACATCTTCAAGTATCGTGAGTACTCTATTTGCTCTGGATTAGATGTATTAGAAAGTATGAAACAAGTATATTGTCAAAAATGTATCTCAATATCATTACACAACTTGCTCTGGATTAGATGTATTAGAAAGTATGAAACAAGTATATTGTCAAAAATGTATCTCAATATCATTACACAATTAGCTCTGGATTAGATGTATTAGAAAGTATCTCAATATCATTAATAAAATTTTTGCTATTAAAAGTGTTAAAATATACAAGTTATATGATGCCATTTTAAATACTGAGATAACTATTTTTTTCATATTTTTCTCCTCTGGATTCTAATATTGTGACTTGTTTCTTAATGGATTATAATTTTGTATATAAATCGTCATGTTGAATTTGAAATATTATGAAAGTAAAAAGTTTGTATGTAATAACAAAATCTTATAATTTCAGTTGGTCACATCAAGAAGGTAGATGGTTTTACTGGCCTGTATAGAGGAGTCGTCCCAAGAATTTTGGCAGGGACCGTTGGTAACTTGGTGCAATATAACATCCAAGATGTAAGTTAAGAGATGATTTTCAAATTTCTTTCTATTTTCAATACTTCCTTGCCAAATCCAAAGCAGAGAAGTGATTAACACTATTTGATACACAGACATCCATGTTTACAATTAACCTAAACTTAATTCAAAATTTTTAATCTTTGGTTTAAAATGAAGTACTGTAATTATTTTCAAGTTTTTAATAATGGAACATGTCACTCTAACCACTGTATTAACAGAGAATAAAATTACATGAAAAGAAACCAAAGAAAAAAGGGAAAGATGAACTTTCAATCTTAGATGGAGATGATGAAGAATTTGTGCCTTGGTTAAAACAGTTTGCTAAAGAGGTATGTAAGTAGTGCTGCTTAAACCTTAACTCATTTCAGTGCAGTATGTCAAACACCTCTATATCATTCTCTAAGCTTGCAAATAACTCTTGCAATACTCATCCATGTTAATTTATAGCCAAATAGTCTTAGGCATTCTCACAACAACCCAATATGAACAATGTATAATAAATCTTATGCTGAATTTAAAGATATAGCTGTGCATTCATTGATTTGGACTAGAAAATGTTAAAAACAATTTCTTCTATGGGTTTTGGCAAACATCAATTGAATATATAATAACTCTGCCTAATGCTATCTGAAACAATTATCATTAGTGTAACTTACAAACTGTAATGTTGGTGAAGAACCTGATTACTAATCCATAAGTCACAGTTTTATTTCACAAATTTGAGTCTGTTGGATTTCCTGATTCCACCCAGCTTCAAAAAAGTGCCCTAGTTGTCGAAGGTATAGGTAGTTGGGTATAGTGCTGACCACACTATCCCTTCATATGGTGGGGCTTGGAGAAGAAATACGTATGGGTATTCTACTTACTCTTAAACTTAAATTTCAAATTGTTGTATCTAATGTACAATTTTATGGGTGAAAATTTGATAGAAAAGTAGTGGGTTGGCAATTTTTCCCTTTTGTTTCCAGACCATGTTTTTGTGTTTGCAGCCTTACTTAAAGAGAAAATGTTTACTCATTATTGTGCATTTACTAAATTTGTTTTTTAATTTTTTCCATTTACAGACTTCAGAAGATACACTTGGCAGATGCTGTGGTGTTATTGTCAGCCATCCTTTCCATGGTAATAGGAATCTTCTATTTAGAAAACTATTTCATTTTACATAAAAAATTCAAAATAAAATACATGAATTTTTGTAGCTAAGCCGTATAAAAAATTTTTTCAGTCATTATGATTCGGAGCATGGTTCAATTTATAGGAAGAGAAACACAGTATAAGTAAGTAAACTTTTTGTGGACCACCAGTTTTTAAAATAGTGTCAAATAGCTGGTCATATTTATTTACTCAATGGCTGTTACTGGTAGGTTGTAAAAGTTGGTGATGTCTACATATTGTGTGTACGCTAATATGTAAAATTTATTTTTCAGTTCCATTTGGTCATCAACAAAAGAAATTTATAACCATGACGGCATTTTAGGATTTTTTTCGTATGTCAAGTTTTCATTATTGATTTGTATTTTAATTTTTAGATAGGAGGTATATTTATCAGGCTTACTTATCTTTTGAATGCCCAAAAATATTGTTTTTATTCAATAGAGGTCTGGTACCCCGACTGATTGGTGAAATTATTGCCATTTGGGTGACTAGTTTTCTAGCCAAGGTCATCAACAAATATCTTATTCAAGAAAATGTAAGTTTTTCCTAATGTGTTTAGTGCTAGCTCAAATAAAATTGGTTTAGGTAAAATAAAAGATGAACCCTTGCATCCCATGCTACAAGTGATTATTATTCATTAAATCTTGATACAAGGGGCAGAACTCTACAAATTATAAATAATTAATAAAAACGGCTATTTATACTTGATATTATTGCTGATAGGTTCTTGTCAAGTGCAAATGGACTCCCTAAATATAGTAAAATTAATAGAAATAGAAAAAGTGTTTTATACTCATATAATCCAGTGCTGTATTAAATATATATATATATATATATTTATAAAAATTATTGTGGAATTCATGTTTTTGCAAGCAGTATTAACAATTGTGTGTAAAATAGTAACTGAAATCTCATCACTGACACTACCTTCAAAGACCCAGTTTATTTCCTTTTTCCTTTACTGATAAGTGGCATTGACCTGTTATTTCCCTGTTATTTCATTGCTTTATCTGTTCTATTAATTTTTTTGGTGAACAAATGCTAGTATTTGTTCACAATGTTTGCACATTTTCTTTTAGATAAGTTCTGATACCATACAGCTTAACAAATCAATAACAGCCTAATATATGTATACTGAGTAGCACATTTTTAAAATTAAGATAATAGGAAATTTTAAATATATTTTCAACTCACAATTTCTTTTAATTTCAGGACCTAAAGTCCTACACTGGAGCTGCTTGTGGAGTGAGTATACATCTTTATAATTAGTATACACACACACATAAACAATTGTTTTTTATTTTTGTTCTAAAATATATAGTAGTATTAGTAGACAAATATGCACTTATTTACAAACGTCTACAGCAACTCATTAAACTAATGAGAAGACAATATTGACTATTACTTTTATGTAGTTGACAGATTATCTGTAGTGTAGTCCTTTGAATTCACTCTTTTCTGTCTTTTTAATTAATTTTTTTTTTTTGCAGCTCATTGTGTCCCATTTCACATATCCTTTTACTCTTGTGACCAATGTTATGGCAGTAAATGGAAGCGGGTAAGTTTGATTTATTTTTAAAAGTCAAGAGCCTAAATATTTAAATTCTGTAATTCTGTTTAGTTAATTAAAAAACGCTAAAGCTTTTCTTACTGATTTTCTAGCTTATTCATATTACGTTAATAATATTATGATATATCCAGCTATTGAAAACGTAAAAATATTATGTTGTTTCCATACAATAATAACAAGCATCATTTCTTACCTTGCTCATCATTATTCAGAAATAATTTTTTAATAATTTTTATACCAAGTATGATTTTGCTTGCATGTTACTTCCTTCTCATGCTATATTGGCAAGGATAATTTGTTCTCATTTATTAATTTAAAAAAATAATTAAAAGGATACTAACAATAAAAAAAAACACAACTTGATAATGTTAGGTTGACATATTTTCATATTTAGTTTTCAAGTAACCATGTTTTTCTCCCATAGACTTGCTGCTGGCTCATATCCTAATATGCCATTGTATAACAACTGGTGGGACTGCATGAGGTACCTGTCAAGTGAAGGAGACCTTAAACGTGGGGCTAATGCATTCTGGCGCATGTACAAACCCAAGCCTACCGTTCTAACCAAGATGCGCCCAAAGCCTACAGTCGTAGCCCGTAAAGTAAAGTAGCTTTAAGATCAATAGATATTTGTGGGATCAAGTTTGAAAGAATGCAATTTTGTAGTAATTTATTGTGATGACTCTAATTGTGATTTTATTTAAATACTTTACATTGATCAATGAAACCATCTGTTAACAAAGAGTTAACATCTTTTGTTGATAATGCCTCTTATGTCATTTTGTGGAACAATAATTGCATGTAATGAAGAGATAATATTCTGATTTAATTTGATGGGTGACATCACGATTGTATCTGCACTAGATTCATGATGTACATACAAATTAATATTGATTTTTATTTTTCTTCAAATAATTTACTTATAATGTTCATTACTAATCTAAATAAAAGTCATGCATATTAAACTGCTTTTGAAATTATTTGTATTATTTATTTAAAGCACCTCACCTTTGATTTAAACCAGACCAAATGTTATAAATATTTAGTTGGAAGATTATATTTTTTGTCTAAACTGAAGAACTAGAAATTCGGCAGCAGAGAAATGCATTTTCTTGGTGGTCTAGTTAACTTTAAATGGATAAAAAGTGAATAGGCCTATATCTTCAAGTCACATCAGTTTATATGGGTGAATTGGATCTTTGTCTCTGCATACCTTGGATATAAACCTTTGTAAATTATGGGGACTTGCTAGTCCACAAGGCTGAATGTTCCAAATTGATTGTATGTTTTAGTTTTGACATAGTAGGGTGGCAAGAGTCACCTCAGCACTGGATTGACTCAGGTAACTTTTTATATTCTCTATTTCAACCCTTTATAGGGTTTTTTTTTTGTCTTTAAAAACTTTTATTGTAACTACAGGTGATTGTTTTTAACTAAAGTATTATAGGTGCAGGAATTGATGACGTATATGTCAATGCTTCTGTGTGGAACTAAAAACAGTGGGTAAAAACTTAAACTCAGAGAAATATTTACAAATTTAAAAAAAAAGGAAACCTGAAAAAGTCCAAATGTTGAGTAAATTGTCAAAATGTTATAGATTTAGAGGGCTGAGGAGAGCTATAGTTACTTTAATATCTGATGGAAGATACTCATCTTCACTTGAATCTGTTTCATTCTCATGACTTTCATTCTCAAGTGGCTCATCTTCAGGAACAATGGTGTTTTGTACTGCGCCTGGTTGATTTTCAACATCATTAGCTTGACACGTCACACTCTTTCCTGGCACAACACTTAGATTTGATCTTCTTTGCTTTTTTTGAGGGACCTTTAGTTTTATCTTCATATCAGAGTCGTTTCAGTTCTTTCTGAAATGTGTCACTTAACAAGGTGTTAATGTCATGTGGTAAGCGTGACACATTTTTTAATTTTGATTAGAAATTTTCACTCTTGGTATCCAATTCCTTGGAGTAGTTTTATAAAATTTTCTTTTTGAGTAGTTTGGCTGTTTATCGCTGTTATTGGATTTTGAAGTTTGAAATAGTGTCAATATTGGTTTTTCATTTTGCCTTCACACTTCCAAAAAAATGAAACATCTAAATAATACTAAATATTCTAAATAATCTAAACGTTGGCACAAATGTGTTGAGCTTGGTGGCAAAAGAACTAATGGAAAATTAAGTTTACAATGCTGAAGGACATCTTCACTAAATTGGGCAAACAAGTTGTACTCTTAACAGAATTTTCCTTCAGCATCTGGTAATGATTTGCAATATTATAGGGTAGTGCTATAGTCTGGAACAAAACATTGAAGTTTGAAGCAGATATGATCTAACCAGCCTGATTTGGAATGATTGAATCTTTTTTGGGGCCTCCCTCTGTCCATCTATGCTCTGGAGGAAGTGGTTATGCTTGTTATTGTTTTAAAAGAATTCGAAGTTCTCTCAAGATATTTAATGCCCTTTTTGTACTAAAAATCTATTTTTTGTATCAGCGTCATGTGATTAATTTGTTCCAGCATAATTAATTAGGTTGCACCGATTATAATTTTTAAATAAAGGGACATAACTCTGAAACAAAAATCACAACTTTTGCCGGATGTTGTGTGTGACCTTGTATAATGTATATCGACATATGCGGTTTAAGAATAGTTAGGCGGTCTGTTTAATTAACTCAGAATAGTCTTTTTTGTTTACACTGCTGATAGTGTACGTTGAGATAGATTTTATAACATTTTCATATTTTCAAGTAATATACTCAGTAAATTTAAGTGAAACCATCAAAATAAAATGGATTTCTCATCACCACCCGCTGGAGGCAAGATGGATTCTGCTACGAGAGAGCAGTTAATGACGCAAGTCAAGCAACAGATAGCTTTAGCAAACGCACAAGAACTTTTGCAAGTTAGTAAAGTTTATATTATAGATAGATCAAGATTTTAATTATAAATGACAAGATAAAAATAAAAGTGAAATCTAAAGGACCACCTATTTATTATTTTATTAGGCAGAAGGCCCTAATTAATTTACTAATTATTAATTAACAACAGATGACTTGATCTCCTGTGTCACCATGTTCACATGTTGTAATGTAATGTTAATGTAGTAGAATAGATCTAGATTCTAGCTAGTAGAAGTAGTAGATCTAGAATCTAGATCTAAAGCTGGTAATCTATCGTTTTAGGTACGTAAATAAAATCGCCAGCGACTAGTAATGTGAAAAACAGGTGACTCCTTAAATTTTAATAATTATTTCACATTCTGAGGAGGATTTATGTTTTTAAAAATACAAAAATGTTTCCTTGTTTCATTTAGGCCTGTGTACCTGTTTTTAAACAATTGAATTAAAACTCTTCAGTAATAAATGAAGACTAGCGATGTTTCCAACAGATGCAACCATGCTCATTTACTATAGCAGCCATCTTGTTTATTTATTTTTTATTGTAAACTTATAGTGCAAAATTCAGGGGAAGCCACTCTAACTTACAGATGGACACATTTTATATAGCAAATCCTGCTCGCAAACACTACTGTTTAAAGTTAATGTCTTGCCTATATTTATATATTTAGCTATTGATTAAGGTTTATTATTCATTTATCTAAAATATTTGACACAAGTATATCACAATATACTTCTATTATTATTTTACTTCTATTAAAGCCTTGACAATGAGGTAACTTTCTCGTATATTACTAGCCGCTGGCGATTTTACTTACCCAAACGATAGATTACCCTAAATCTAGTAGTGTAGGTATTCCAAACTGATTGAAACTGATTTTTAAAATCAATCATACAATATTTCACAATAAGCTTTATTATTTTTGCATAGATCTAGTACTTAAACTAGATCTAAATTCTGCTAATGATTCTAAGAGTGTGGATGGATATCAAGTTTATGTCTGTACTCAGTACTGTATGACAATTAGAAAACATGTGTTGCACTTCAGGAGCAAGTTTCTTTTTCAGCATTCACGAGGATGCAACTTTAGCACAAATTAATTGAAATTATCTCTAAAACTATGACATCAGTACTCATTTTCCAACTTAATAAATAATTCCTATAGGCCTAAATGTAGATTTAATGATTATTTCAAACATGTATCAAAGGTTAACATAAATGTTTTGCCTTAAAAATTGTTTGTATTTCACCATTTGGACAAAATTATTAGAGTATGAAAATGAGCAGAAAGCTTGATTTTCTGCAGTTTGGTGTACCTACTTTGCAGCTAGCTAGAGCCTAAAGTTTACCCCTAAGGCTAATTGGAAAGTTTTATACAGATATGAAGCAATTACAGTCAGTGTCATGCCGATGACCTGGAACCCATCCCAGCTTAGTGTCATTTTAAAAGCAATGTTATGTGGGTTTTAATAAAGTGACTGAAAATGTTTATGATGTGCCTGAGAACTTAAAATTTTTATAGTCTTAGACTATATACTGTTACCTTTACCAGAAACTATGTTTAAAGGGGTAATTGAGATGAGGCTGTAAAAAATTTTTGTAGACTCTCTCCAGTCTTTTGAAGGAATAATATTATATTTGATAGTTATAATGTGAATAAATAAAAAGTGAAATACATATTTTTATTCTCTATTGGCTAAAAAAAGCAACTATTCTACTTGACTTCAATGAAAATAGAAGTTCAGTAAAGTTAGACTAGAAGTAAAAATTCTTGAAAATTGTACTTCTACACTAGATTCCAGATGTAGAACTATTGCTAGTAAATCTACTATTTTACCATTCTGAACTGCAGTTACTACTGAGGTGATTGCGTTTAAAGTTAAATTTTTAAAAATAAAATCTCTGTGCTGAGGGGAATGCCTTGTTTCAGTTTCTTTTCGCATTCATATCATACAATACAACTTTGGTGAGACAATAATCAATTAGCTGTTCCTCTCTGGGAGGTTTGTCAGGTCTGGGTTCAATTCTGATTGAGATTATGTTAGCATTTCTAATTGTTTTGTTTGTGTTTAGTTCACTATTTTGGCCAACATGCAAATATATGTGAAACTGGGTTGGAAGTCATCCATAAATGACTTCACCTTTTTAAACAAAACATCAAATCCTAGGCTTGAATCTGTAGGATGTCCTGAGTCCACCCAGCTCTGATGGGTACCTGACTTGGGTTAGGGAAAGTAAAGATGGCTGGGCATAGTACTGACCACACTATTGCTTCATATGTTTATGACGCAGAAGCTGAACTCTACTTCATCTGCCTCGTGGGCTGCCAGGCTCAAAATGGGAACTTTATTTTTAGCTGCCACTTCCAAACATATTTACACATAACTCATTATTTTTAAATTATGCTTTTTTGCAGACTTTATGGGGGGGGGGGGAAGAGAGTATCATAGTTTTTAATATTGTATCAAATGAAAAGCTCATTGGATTGTTTTAAGAATTTATAATTACAAACTCAACAATGTTAAACCAACATGGATGGATAAGATGTTTATTTTAAAACTTCTAGTGAATAGGCCCTAATTGATGATGATGTTTACAGTTTGTAAAGATTGTTTTCAAGACTAATTAATCTCATTCAAGATATAAGCATGTTATAAGGATTTATATTTTGAATACAGTATTGTGAATATATATATATATATATATATATATATATATATATATATATATATATATATATATATATATATATATATATATATATATATAAATATATATATATATATATATATATATATATATATATATATATATATATATATATATATATATATATATATATATATATATATAATGTAATAAAGATGTTGAACTTAAAGGAAAAGTATTTTTATGTATTTATATTTCATCTATTATTATTTTTTTGCAGAAAATGTCAGAAAAATGTTACAAGAAATGTATTGCTAAGCCTGGAACTACTCTTGATAATTCAGAACAAGTAAGTACTTATTTAAGGTAGAAAAAACTTACTACTATCAGTTACAAAAAATACACTTTGCTTTTGGGAATCAAAGATAGTCTAAAGCTCATGTTAACTACAGATAAAAGGGCTGTGTAGCCAATTGCCTGCCCAGCTGTCTATGATGGGTATGCACCAGGTTTCCCTCGAACGCTTTGTGGTTCTTTGTTGCCTAAAAATATCTCAGTGTTCTATAACCCATAAGTGCAAATACGCGTGCTGTCTCTAAGTCATGTTTTCTTTTAATCACTATGAGTATGATTTAAAGTGATTATTATAAATGTGGAATTTTATTCAGTCATTTTTGACATTTTGTTTTCACAGAAATGTATTGCGATGTGTATGGACAGGTACATGGACACATGGAATTTAGTTTCTAGAGTGTATAGTCAAAGGTTACAAAGAGAATCCAATAGAATGTCTTAATATTTGGGGGTGTTAGTGTTGTAAGATTGTAACTTTTTATTCATTGCTGCATTTTGTATAGAATTTTTTATTGAATAAAATTTTACCTGGAAGTTGTCGTATTGAGAAAATGTTTTCCATCCATCATTTTAAGACTTGTTGTACCGGTATCAATTTGAATAAATCATCTTTATAAATTATTGTGTACAGCTTATTGAAAAATATATATGTGTGTGAATATATTGCTTTTCTCATTTAAGAAAAAACTAAACAGTTGATTTTTAAAAATATAAGTTTATTGAAATAAAACATAAAACAAGATAAGGCGTCAAATAGTAAAATATAACAGTAAATAAAAAGATAATAAAAGCAACTCCTTAAATTCTATTTATAGCTGCTCATATTGAACAGTAAATTGTTACATGCTGTATGAACCACAGCTTTTAAAAATACATTTTGCCTTTAATAAATAGACTGACACCTTCTGGAAAAACATTTTATTAGCATGTTACTGGTAATTTTAAGCAAGAGGTAAAATTGTAAAAAGTTTCACTTTAAAAATTGGAACTCATTTCTTAAAGAGATAACAAAAACTGGATGGGTGTGAGAGATTCACAAAAACACCATAGAAATAGATATTTATGAAAATAATTTAAGTATAAAATTAAATAATTCATACAAAAATCAGTTTTTACAAAATCACAATTTTAATACATTTATACCTACTAATAGAATAATTACAAATCACAAGTTGTAAATAAATCATAAAATGGTCAAAGGCAACAAGTTTTCAACACAATGTTGGAATGAAATCAGTTTGCAGTTAGGAAAATGACTAGGTCAGTATCAGTCAAGCTGTGAAGTCAAACTAGATTAACAAAAGATATATCAAAGTTTTTATATGTAAATATTTCTTTCATCAAATGGAAGACAGAGAAAGTTATGATAATAAAGAAACAACACCAAAGATTTAGAACAAGATGAATAGACATTTATGTCTCATAGTCATAGAGCCAGACAAAGAATAGTTTGGTCTTCCATACAAATCTATTGTTAGCTGAAATGTTGACAATTACCATGGTAAATGCACTAATAGTTGTCACTAAAATTACCAGATGAAGTGTGATTCAGTTAGTGAAGAAGGTCAGTGTTTAACCAATAAATGATACACTTTGGTGCATGTGTTGTGTGTAGTTGACCAAGGCAGGGCTACATTTACTTGAAAAGTAAGCTAAATATTGTTATTCACTTAAGCCATTCAATAAAATGATAATACCTGACAAATAATTTCCCATAAAAACTAATCTTCCCCTACCTGATAATACTGGAATAAAACTTGTACTATTAATAGAATTATACTCCACTGAAAACATTTGTCATGGCTAGATTCATTGTTTACAGAAAGTTAACATATCTACTTGACCTTCAGTAAATGTATACTTTTCAGTAACTTTTTTTAAAGCCACAGCATCCAGATTATTTTTAGCTTAATGTTTTGATTAGAGATAATTGCACTTTAATCAACAAAACACCGGTTTTAGTGCAGACAAAAATATTTTTAAATATTAGTTCTAGGAAATCTAATTTCCTAAAAGTAATAAAATAAGTAAATAAATAAACTAGTTTTTAAAAATTAATTTTCATGGCTATCTTATTACAATATAATTAAGCTTCATTCAGTAGTGTGCATGCAGTCTTTGCTTTAAAATGAACTGAATGATTTTAAAAATTCTTGTTTTAAAAGCACACAGCATATATAATTAAAAAGATGCTTTTCAGCATGAGTAAATAGAATAACAATAAAGCTTCAGTTTTAAAATAACATTTTGAGACATAAAATTAAAAGATCGTTTTTGTATAACGATTCAACTTTAAAAACCCGTCAGGAAATAATTGGTTCTAGATTACAAAGTTTCTAACTAAAACATTTGTGTCTTTATAAATAGCCTTACAGAAATATTTTATGTTTTGATCTCAATAGAAAGGCTGAGAAGTATTCTGTATTCCATTACTATCCTGGTCAGGTTTGGCCCCTTTAAATTTGATTCCAACCAGAAATTCTTCAGATTTCAGCAACGCCTCTTTGGCAAGATATTTTTCTCTGAGCATTTGAAGCTTCACTGACCTGGGCATGTCTGGAACTATGTACCCTATCAGCCAGGACAACAGCCACACTAGAATCTGGTAAACAATAGGAATAAAACTATTTATTCTGAATATGTGTGTTTAAATGAAAAATACACTAAATATTTCTTCCTGTTTTTTACTAAAAATGAATGCAGTTTGGCATGTAAGAAAAAGTAGGCCTACATACCACAAAAACCAGAATGAAAGCTAGTCTTGCTGTAAGGATATGCCAGTATTCAAGTGTAGATTCATAAGGCTTGGCTGCATCTGGTGGACTTCTATAATCTCTGTACCTGCAAGTAGGCGTTTTTAAAATTCATTAAAAGAATCAACATTAAAAACACAATACATTTTTTCAAAGTTAACTCTGCTGTCTTAGAAATTTACCTGCACTGGGTTACATTGCCAAACTCTGCCTTATCATATTTGCTAGGTATACTATCTTTCTCAAAGTCTGCCACGTTAAAGACAGAAAGACTGAAGTTGAGGTATCCATCAAGGTTATTATTTTCACTGTACGAGTACTGGTAAACAAGCTTGGGAATGAACTCAGAAGTAAAAGCTATTATTGCTGCCTGGAAGTGAAAAGATTTAAAATAAGGAACTTCAAAGCTAATAAACAAAACAATATGACCTATGTTTACTCCAACAATTTTGTTCATTTATAAAAAAAAATGAGCAAAAATAATTGGTTATAAATTGACATATTTTAAGGGAGAGTTGAAGGAGAAAAGTATTTTTTAAATTTAAAAAAAAATGCTAAATATGATCTCATCAAGACTTACATTGGACATGACTGCTACTGTAGAAATTCCTTGTAAAATACCAAACCATATCCCTGAAATTGATAAATTGCTTAATTACTCAGAGTAAACACAACTAAACAGAGTTTTTGAAGTGCGATTTTAAAAAAAAAGCTGAACCAGCAAATCCATTGTTGGCTAGGTTTTAAAGAAAACTTACCAATGTCTTGAGCTTTCATGGCAAGTGGCCGCCTCCATTGTGTGACAAACTTATACGCATCCAGTCTAATCTCAATGATGTTATTGAGTAGTGCACAGAGGGGAGCCAGAGGAAAAGCTGCCACGAAGATTGTTACAAAACCATACTGGATGACTGCAGAGAAGAAGAAAAATCTGGATGACAAATTTTCCATAGTTTCTGCAGTTTTATAATGTGTATTGGTCTATTAAAAAGCAAATAAAAAACATTTATTTTTAAAATAAAGTTCTACAAATTGAATACAGAGTGCTGATCTTATAATTTAAAATAAAAGAAATTTTTCTTTCCATGTAGACCCTTCATTAAGCTTATAATTTGTAGTTAAAAACTGACCCATTTCTAAATATTCATCAAACAGCCCAAGATCTGGCATGGAACTCATGGCAAAATCTTTTTCCCATTGGCTAACATGCTCATGTTTTTTCTCTTCTGCCTCTTTAACTTTGCGGGATTTGAACCAATTAAGCAGCTTGCTGAAACAGTCAATTGAACTCATTACTCTCTACAGAAGAATAACACTTTCTAAATAAACTCATAAATCTGGACATTTAAAAAAAAGTTCTAACTTACGGTAAAATAATTTCTTTGAAATTGTTGAAAGATTGTTTTCCAAGCATGATAATTGCCAGTTGGATACACAATTCAATCAGACATCCAGAAGGATCACACTGGAAGATGAAATAGTTTTCTTTAACACTAGAACCTGCTTAAGTTAATTTAAACATTATTTTGAATGAGTAAAATAATATTTACCTCCTCTTGTCTAGATGCATTTATTTGCCTATTGTATGCACCAGGACGACCCACAAGTCTGATAAAAAAGATGTTTGGTAATGTTAATATGGAGGTCTATAAACTTATAATGTTTAACAAATATAAATTTAGAATAATAGGCCAGTAAAAACTACTTTGCTGGTAAGTTAACCTGGTGATTTAAAAATAAATTGATTAAAGATGTGTTAGCTGTGTCATAAAAATAAAGCTTTCTAGAATTTAGCTGTCAAAAATCTTTTGTGTATGTACCAAGAAAAGTTGTTCTAAATTGTATCTATTTTTAGCAAGTTACACTATAATTGTCATAAAAATTCAGGTGAGAACTTGAACAATTTTTTTAATCTGTTGATGATGAATGAATAGGTTTGTCAGTTATAAAGATGGCTGTATTCAAGGTAGTTTTATTTGGATAAAAAACTTAAGCACATAGGCTACTTGTGGTCAATGTGAATGAAAGTACTTAAAACACAGAAACCTCGATTAACTTAAACCTAAAGAAAGCATCAGCACTTACTTTCCTTTAAAAAATGCAATGTAAAAAAGTGAAGCAAAATGGTTGACAAACTGGAAAAGAAACATCTTGAGAGTAAAACTGTCTTCCCATTCTGTTAATGTACGATGCGTCTCTGTGGGGTAATATTTTTTAAAAATTAGTACATTAGGCAGAGCAACTTAGGATATTAATATTTAGTAAATCATATGAAATCTGTTCCAATTTTGATGCAGATAACTTTAATTTACTAACCAAAGTTTGTTAAAAGTTTTGCAATGAGTTCATAGATCTTGCCAAGTAGGATAATGATGACAAGGTTGATGAGTGCAGCTGATATGGAAGTTAGTATTCCTGCTCTCTGTTTGATGGTTGCTTGGTCAACAGCATACAGCACGGCTGACACAGTCATACGATACACAATGACACCAAACACAGCAGCACACACCACACAAAGCTGCTCAACATGAAAAATATTACAAAAATATGCTTTAAAAATGTTTTCAACACACTAATATGAAAATGTGTGTACGCTGTTTATTAAATAAAATGATAATTTATAAGATTTATGCATTCAATATTTGTTTCAATCATGTGTTCAAACTCATAAATGCATTAAAATAGCAAGTTATTTATTTTTATAAAAAGAAATTTTATTTACTTTAAATGCAGATTAAGGTGACAAATATTGATAATAGAACTTCTACTCATAGTAAAAAGAAAAGAAGGAAACCAAAACAAACCTCCTAGTAATATCTATATCCAGATCATTTTATTGCATTATAAGATCTTATTAGGCTTAACCATTTTAATCATATAACTTTCTTTGAAAAAATGTGTGGTGGACAACTTACCATAAATAATACCACCCAGAGTGAGGAGACAATGCGGCAGATTTTAGAAGAATAGCTCATGTAGGGTTCATCACGCTGACAGTGTCAAAGTCAATTTTTAATTAATAAATTAAACATATAATGGAACTTAAAATATAAGTGAACAATAAGGAAGTTAAAATTAAAATAAAATATTTTACTCTTTTTGTATATTTTAAAAATCTTATCCAGCCAGAGGCATATTTAATAACATAAGCTAAATTTAAAACAAAATTGACAATGAGATTACACTAAATTAAAAAATCTGATAATTGTTTTTTAGCTGTAAGAAAAGATACATTGAAGTTAATGTTCATGAGATAGTTAACAAATTGATGGTGTGATAAAATTATTATTTAGAATTTTTTTTTTTGGAGTTAACTAAACATGAAAAACAGCAAATATTAGCATAAGCAGGGAGGGGTGCAAATTAAATTGGAAATATTTGGGTGGTTTGCTTAGTCATATAGATAATAAATACATATGGGTGTCTGTATTTATATAGGCCTATCTAAATTTAAAAAAAAAAAATAGAAATATATATATATACATATATATATATATATACATATATATATATATATATATATATATATATATATAGTGAAAAATACTTTTGTGATTTGAAGCACATTATATTGAGTAAAATCAAATGACTCAAATCATAAATAACTTGTTTTACAAAAAATTAATGATATCTTGAAACAGTTCATCCAATAGCATTTCAGTTTAAGCCATACAAAATTTACAGTAGCAACCTGAAAAATTAGCTTAGATTATAAACAATAAAAATGTTCATGAAGATCAGCAATTTAAGCAAAGAAAGCAGATCTAAACTTATTCATTTGGTTTCCTGTATTTTAGAATTCATAAATTTTAAAAACTTGCAAAATACAAACTGTTTTAATGTCCTTTAAGATAGTCAAATATTTCAAGAAAATGAGGTTTATCCAGGTAAAAGAAAATTACCCTTTTCTTGACAGGTTTAGCTTAAACAATATTGTATTGACAGCATGTTTTTAAGTAAATTGATAAATTTCTTAGCTAAAATAGCTAGCTTAGCTAGAATGTAGCCTAAAAGTATATAAAATAAGGAAAGGAAAATACTGGACGACAAACTGGCAAGAGTGTAGAACACAGGTAAAAGATTTCAGGGTTGAGGATTTATAAAATCTTTTTTATTTCTGGTAGCATGACAACATGGCGCAACTAAGCATAAACAGAATTAACTTTTCCATTTTTGTAACAATATTCGTGAGATAATCTCTGAATTAACAACCTTAGGCCTATTAATCTAGAACACCTAACCGTTTCTGATTGTATTTAAAAAAAATTAAGTTAACTGTTCAGTACTCAATAAACTTAATTTTTGTTATGGTTTATAAACTGAGAGAAGAATGAGGAAAGATAGGAGTGACTGACAAACAGGAGCACAACTCTAACTCTAGCATGGTTGACAAAGGGAAATAACTCAGAATCATACCTCTTCTTCTTCCCTGTAACTGCCCTCAGTTTGCTTATATGTTATGAAATGACAGTTATGTGTGTCATACAATGAGTTATTAAAAGTCCCTTAGTAACTGTACACAACAATGCACAGATAACATATTGCTATTAGACTACAGAACAGTATAAAGGCTCAGCACTGAATTTCAGTCACAATTTTGATAAGATTGAATTAATTTATACAACAATTGTCGGTAATGCCAAATTTTTAAAATTTAAAAAGCCCATACTAAATTAATTTAATCTTTTGGATTGGCATCTATCAGGAAACTTTATTTCATTTGTCAAAGGAACTTCATACAATTAAGTGCAATTTCTGACTTTGATAATTAAGTATGGATTTTAGTAGTCCATGTAGACTTTGCATTTGTAAAATTCAGTGCCATACCAGAACTAGAATGCAGCACATAGTATTTAGTTACATTAGAGGACTCATGTATTGATTGTATACAGCACACACATTTTAGAATACACTGCAGAATTAGTATGTAGCATTATTAAAATGATTACATAGTTAGAATAAATCTAACAATAAGAATACATTGCAGTATTAGTATGTACTACAGTGAAAGGAAAATTTAGAACACATATTTATCATAATTGGGTAATGGTTCCCAGCCAGTGATTAATATTGTGTTACTGGTACACAGCATGCAATAGGAAGAGAAGAACAGAACTCTCCTGGTCAATATTTACAATCATTTTTTCACTATTTTTTAAATTCTCTTTCAAAGATGTGTCTTTTCCATTCTCTATTCTCAAATAAAAACCTCAGTGTGTCTCAGTTCTCTTGTTATTATTACTAAAAAATACCTGTCTGCGACCATTTTCTAAATTGCAACTGCTTTAAATTTTTCAAAGGTAATCTAGTAATGTTAAATTTGTAAATTGTTTCATTGCCTGTGTACTGACAAACCTTTACTTTTATATGTTCCACCCAAAGAGGAAACGCTAGGACGGGAAAGAAAGCTTGCAAAGAGAATGTACATCTCTAGTTCTACTTTCTGTGCCAATCACAGCACTTAGCATAATTCTCTTTTATGTCACTAAGTTAATTCAAACTGCTTTTTCTTCAGAATTACTCTTGTCTGATCATGTTTTCTTGTACTTACATTGTTTTTAATTATCTCTTTTGTTTGAATAAAATATATTCTAAAAGAGAGATTTGGCTGGGAACCACAAGTTTGCCAATACGTCCATTGCTATATTAGCACAACATATTCTGTTAGAATACACATTATTTTCAAGCCCCGGTAACCATAGTAACTATGATAAAAAAATCCACATAAACATAAAGGGGGGTTATTAGCATGTGTAGTCATTATTATTATGGTTAATATGCTAGAATAGGAACAAAGTGAACTTCAAACAACATGTAAGTGTTAACTTCACAACTTCAAACGTCTACAAATGTTTGTTATCAGCCAGAAAACTAAACTTTCATGCAACTTAATGAGGAGAAGACAAATGTTTGTAAACTGCTTACATTGCCCCAAATCTTAAACAAATTACAACAAGTTAGCACAGACCTGGGTGACAGGGTTAGGCTTTCTGCGCCGCACTGAAGCTTCATACTCAGGACGAATGGTCTCCTGCAGATTTAAAACGTAATATTTAATCAAGTATTTAAAATTAATTTGCCGTTAATACATTAATTAATCAGGTAATACACTTTAATGTTATAAAACACAAACAGAAACAAAAAAAGTTATTCTAAAAATACTTTTTCTCTATTTATAATTGTATTAATTTTGAATTAAATAAAGTGCTTCAAATTGTATTTTACAGTAATAAAAAGAAGATTACCTCCTCTTCAAAATCAGCAACATCCCAATCATATTCAATCTCTGCTGCTCTTCTCTTCCAGAGCTCATGAAAGGCGGTGGCTATAATTAGATCAATATACATTTTTTTAGTTTATTCACTCAATTTTTCAAGAGGCCATGTACTTAGATTAAAAAATCAACACAGTTTTTGATATATAATGAGGCAAATATAACAATCGTTTACTAGCCACTCCACTCCTAAACACACTGAATCTTCTAAAAATAAACAACCCAATATCATGATAACAAACTTAACAAAAGTAAGTAGTAGAAACCTACACCATAAGGCCATAAAGCCAGCAAACGCTACTGTGGCCTCATTATCAAAGAGATATGTTGCCCTGGAGTAAATACAAGAGGATTTCAGTCGCCAGTACTCGCATCTGCCATCACACAGTGGACACATAGTCCAGTTTCCTGGACCTTTCTCTGAACAGATGTCATTGCTGGTAAAATAATTAAAATGACATTTATGAACAAATGTCAGTGCTGTCATGGCAATAAAAGTGAAATTTAGTATAGATGTCATTGCTGGTATAACAATTAAAATGACATTTAGGAACAAATGTCAGTGCTGTCATGACAATAAAAGTGAAATTCAGCATAGATATGCTGGTATAATTGTTAGTGCAGTCAAGACAAATAAAGTGACTTTCAGTTGTCACTGCTGTTATATAAATAAAAGTGACATTCGGTATCCATGTTTCACTTAATATAGATTACTAGGCATGCTGCCCAGCTTTGCTTAGGCTTTCGAAAACATTGAGAATTTGAATGCTTAATTAATTCGCCCGAGGGTCGGTCTACGACCTCAGGAGTTATGAAGAGGTTCCTCCATGGACATTTTTTTTTCGATTTATAGCTCATATAAGGCGCCGGTCAGTCGAGGTCAGTTTTGACCCCATCATCGTAGACTTTTCGGCCAACCGGCCCCCGTGTTCTGTCGCCCCAAGGCAAGATCCTGCCAAATTTGAAGCGCCTACGGCGCCGGGAAGTGCCCTATCGGGCACCCGACAACTTTGCTTTATATATTATAGAGATTAGCAAATTGCATAGATAAACAAAGATTTCAATAAAGTAATCAAGGCCTGAAATACTTTAGTATAGAAATGTATTATTTGAATAGATGAATCTAGAATATCTAGATCTAGAATCCAAATAAATAAAATAAATTTTATGAGTTTAGGCCGGAAAAATTGTATTGTATACATTTCATAGTGTACGTAGATCTAAATCAAATTTGAATGAAATAGTTCATTTCTTTTCATTCTAAACACGGCAGATGACGTCATTAGTTAATGTATAAGCAATAGTGACGTCACAGTTTTATGCGTTCTTTTTCACATATATTAATGCTTTTCCGGTTGCATAAATAATACTGTTTCTCTACATTCGAATACGCCTTTAATTTTTATTTTTCTTCTTTAAATAAAATTGTGGTTATACATTTAAAACATCTAACATATTATTTTCAACAAAAGTCCGTATAACGTTCTCCATATATCGCTGCCGTTTCTGACGTGATGTCCGGCGAAAATATTTTGCGGACAGAGAGAGAGAGAGAGAGAGGTGCGCACATGGGGAATTATATATTAGGATTTTTAAAGGCTTTCAAACTATCAATAAGCCTAATAATCATATTTTAAATAAATAGTTACATTTAATAAAATAATGGTACTTATCTATAAGTAGTATCCACTTATTCTAATAACTAGCTAAAGTGTCATTGTTGGCTATAAAAGTAAAAATAAATTGATAATAAATAAAAACAGATTTGTAATGCAAGTGACCTGGCCTCATTGAATGGCATTCTGGCCAATCCATAAATAAACACAGCAAGTCCCACCAAACCAGCTGGGATGAGGACACCTGTATAGTAGCCCAGCCAGGTAAAATAGATGCTGATTTTCTCACCAAAATATAACCTTTATAAAGATACATGGGGTTAGATTTTTTAGAAATAAGATACGTTTCAGCAATAAGATATAGAAAGTATATGTTGAACCATAACTTATATTTTTATCACAAAAAAAAACATCTAATGTTTATTACTATTGTATTAAGAATGCAAAAGAAGAAGAAAGAGAACAAGGACTATTGCATTTTTTTTAAACAGGAATATAAATCATACAACTGTATTTTTAAAAATCTATAAATAAAATCATAAATATTATAATATTGTTTAAAATAAAATACATTTAAAAGTATTTTTAATGTGATTTATGTTAAGTTGTTTCCCTTTCTGTTTTTAAACTATTGTGCAAACTTCAACTTATAACTGTAGGCAACACAAATGACATCAACCCCAACAGTCACATATTTTTCAATTTATCTTTTATTAATTAACTTAACAGTCAATATAGATATTCATCTAACATGGCAAAACTAGTTGTTTGAAAGACAGTTTGATTTAAGAGTATTAACCTGATTGTTTAGAGGTGAGTTGATCTTACCTTATGTGATCCAATGGCTGAAACTTGTACCATGCACCTGGTTTGGCCCAGGTTTCATACAGTAACTAGTAATAAAAAAAGAAAATATTACATATACTTTATATCTGATATTTGAGAAAATTCTGTAATTCATTAGTTAGTTTAAAATGAGTTCACAATTGGTGGTTAGATGAAAGATGAGACCACTGGTAAGATTTGAAAGTGTTAGAATTAAAATCTGGAACAGACATTGGCGTAATAGATTGATTGAGCATCAAACTGCTAGTACTACTTGTCACTTACATGTCTCTGATTCTGTGCCCCACTTGCCAGGATAGAATAATCACTGTAATATTCACCCTGTTGGATAAAAAGGTCACAATATTTAGAACACATTTATACAAGGATAGGTCAATTAACATCTTCAAAAATATTTAACTGTTTTTCAACATTGATACATTTTTTAAACAGTAATATATTATTTCTCTAATTTGTTTAATGGGCATATAATATAGGCTTTTTATTTTACAATAGTTTTTTCTGTACAAGCTCAACAAGCTGAACAAGCTCAAAAAGATATATATACTTCATTAGTTGAATCATTATGGTAAGAATTGTTTTTAAAAAATACTTATCTCTTACCTCATGGAGAGGAAAAGCTGCATCATAAGTTCCATTGTTGAGTAGATTTGTGATACCTGCCAGATAGGTGTTTAAATAATCAGACAGGTTGTACAACATTCTTCTATATTTAAACAACAAAGACAAAACAAATGGTGTAAATCTATTTTCGTAATCATTTATTAATTTTTAAATTTTAAGAATAAAGGGAACAATGTAATTTTCTAAATGAACATATTTTTAAAATGAAATTTATAAAAACACAAAATGGGAGCTTAAATCAAACATTCAATCAAAAACAAAATAAATGCCTACCGAATTTATTTTTAGCTGGATCGCCAAGGTCTTCAAAAATGGCTCTAGATAAAACCTGATATGTGAGGAGACTTCTCTGGGCTGGGGTAAAAAATGTCTCCTTGTCCTGGATTATAAATCTAAACAAAGGGGATTGTGAAAATTAATTAATCAAGATGTAATTTAAAAATGATATCAAAATACTTTAAATTAAATGTTATCAAAATTAACATGAACATAATTATTTTCTTTAACTAAATTTAAAAAAAAGATTTTGAATTTTAAAGCTAAATAAAACAGATCGAAAAGAATAATTTTTTAATGTTAAATAAAAATAATTAAAATATATCATGCTACTAATTCATTCTAATTACTTATATTTTAAAGATATTTTTATGTAATCAACAGGAAAAAGATAATCTTTTGGCAAAACTACATTTTTTAATTAACAGGTGAGTTAATCCTTAACATGTTAAAGTGTGAAGTAAAACATCTTAGAATTTATATCACATGAGTCCTAGTAGAAGCAGATTTTGTAACTTGTCAACAGCCAATGTGAACAATAAATGCTTGCCATCAAAATTAGTTGTATTTGTTATACATTTCACATAGTATAAAACAGTAAGTATAAACCATATGTAATACATTACACATACAGAAAGAAGTTGATTGTAGTTTGATGAGGAATGATGCTCACAGACAAAAATAAAATAAAAAAATAAAGAATATAAAAATCATAGTAATTTATCTGTGAGTCAGATAACAAATTTATACAGATTTACAACATAATCCATACAACAAACATGTAATAATACACATTTACAACCTCTAGGTTTGACTAAGACAGTGAGTTAGTAGCAATAGCCACTTTTCCTGATGTTACAAGACTTACCAAACTGAGCATTTTATTTTCATATTAATGTTTCATTATATTTTTCTTCACCATTCTCAATATTTTATTTTTATTAAAAGATTAAAATTACATAAATAGAAAACAATGTATTCAACATTTTTGTTTCGTATTTATGAAGAAAATCAGTATAGCATCACACATAGTGCAGCAATTTTCAAAATAAAAATAGCATGGACATCATGATCATGAGATATTGAGATATAATGCAAAGTGGTCAAAATTTACAGTAAGTACAATTTCAGTTGACTGAAGCTTACAGGCAATATTGCAATCAGAATAGAAAACTAAACTACAAAAAACTGAACTTACTTTTCACTGAAAAGTAAAGGAAGAAACATTAAATGTAAAGGAAGCAAAAAACGAAAAAAAAATAATTCACCAATATCTACTAAAAACTACAATGATTGGAGTTCAACAAACCACATTATGATACAAAGTAGCAAACTATTTGCTAACCAGTCTACACTCTTTGGCCTAGATTTACCACTAGAGACTAGATCTAGACTAGAGAAATTCGCTGGCATATTTAGAAATGTTTAAAATAAATAAATGTATGCATCTAGTGAATGCAAGAGTAGACTATTAATACAAGACAACCAGACTACTCTAATTGTTATTTTTTAGTTAAAGTAAGCCTATAAAAGGAAACTATTAATTTAATTCCAATAAGTACAAAAAATGCTTACTGATCTGTACGACTTCTGGTGAACGGTGCTGTGAAAAAATCTGGCACAGTGGGTAAAATACTCTCATCAAAATCAAATGGAGTTGGACATTTCGACCAGCAGCTCTCAAACTTTTTGTGCATGTCATTTTCCTAAATAACAAAAATGGGCTTTGTTATACAAAACGATGTCTATAAGGATAACTCAATTTATTTAAAATATATAATATGTCAATCTTAATTGCACATGTAAGAAAAGTAATGATCAGATATTTAAAAAGAAAAAAAAAGTTTTTAGAAGACCCTCTAAAAACTGGAAAAATCAGTACATACTAGAAAAATCAAAGATATATAGAAGATAAGAAAAAGAAGACAGTTGACGAAAATAGACAGTAGAGGATTTAAAAAACCTAATGCTTACGGCCAATGGCATTTTCATACTGGTAGCCTCGGCATATTTAGCAAGGACGTCCCATGGTGCATGCACCTTGACGTAGTAGATCTTCTTATCCTTGTCATGCTGTTTAGACGAGCAAAGTTTCCCTAATAATCCACTAACTGACAGCTGGGGAATTATGTCAAACTGAAAAACACAAAGTCAGCTCAGTTACGATTTTATTAAAACTATCATAAAACAAATACATAATATAGATCTATTACATTTCTCTCATTTGACAAATATTATATTGTAATATTTCTTAGGAGAAAAAATACATTCCTTATGACAAAAATTAATTTAGAAATTGGAAGTAAGCTAATGATATTGACATTTAAAACATTCTAGAAAGCTGCAAATAATTACACATGCATATTTAAAAACAAAATATCAAACTATCGTGAATAAAAACATGTCACTTATTGGAGAAAGTAATCTTTCTGGTTATAATATATATATATATATATATATATATATATATATATATATATATATATATATATATATATATATATATATATATATATATATATATATATATATATATATATATATATATATATATATATATATATATATATATATATATATATATATATATATATATATATATGTATATATATATATATATATATATGTATATATATATATATATATATGTATATATATATATATATATATATATATATATATATATATATATATATATATATATATATATATATATATACATACATATAGGCCTACACACACACTCTCTCACACACACACACACACATATATATATATATATATATATATATATATATATATATATATATATATATATATATATATATATATATATATATATATATATATATATATATATATATATATATATATATATATATATATATGTGTGTGTGAGATGCCTAGAAGAAACTCTGACCACCACCCAGACGCCCCAAAGTGGGGTATATGAACGCCTTGATTGTACATTAATCATATTACGTAAAAGTAAGGTAGAACAACCATCGGCGAGCGCCGAAGAAGCCATAAAGTTTACATATCAGAAAATGACAGTTTTTTCACATCCCGCTCATACAATCGTCCCAAAAAAACTCAGAAAAATGACGTCACACTGCAGCTTATTAACATCTCAATTATATTTTCTGAAACCGATATTTCTTTCTAAAATATTGTAGATTATATATATTTGTATAAAATGATAGGTATGGGGTTATAGTGTTATTTTTTAAAACAAAATTAGAACTTACAAAAAGTCTGTTAAAATTGCAAAGCAAAGTTAGTTTAAAATTACTTTTTAAGATGGAAAAATGTGACGTCACGTTTTTCTCACTTCACCACTCTCCGAACTACTGCCCCTCCCCACTCCCCAAGCAATCATTGCGTAGTTTTATACAGATTTATCCACACGCTCTATTGTTTCTTATCTAATTATCTTACAAGTCACAAGAAGCCAGACCTATCTGTTAAATGACGTCACGACAACTTCTATCCCTCCTCTTCCCCCCCCCCCCCCCCCCCCACAAACCGTTTAATGGTCTATCTCTATGCGTAAGTGCTGCCAACTAACCGCCCTCTCTTAAAGTTTTGCCAGATTTTTTTTAAAAACAAAAATTTGACCGAAACAATACTCGCTTGCGCTGTACGGTTACCATGGTGACAAAAGTTCACTGTGGTCTCTACATCCACATTATAATTATCGATTGGAAACTTGTGCGTGCGATCCTCGGCTGTATTGTATTAAGTTTTTTCCCCTCCACTTTTAAATTTAATGGCTGCGATCTGCTGAATCACCAAAAATTGTGCGCTCAGGTTGTACCCTATGTTGTAAAACAAACAAGGCTACGAATACATTTCAAAGACAGACCTTTTAGACCAACATAATTATATTCAAGTTGCTGTAACCCTGGATACAGTTCATAAGTATCAAGTGTTATCGACCTATTTTTAAAAAAAAGTAGGCCAGAAAACGAAAAGGCCTTGGTCAAAAGATGAAAAATGAAATAGCACGCAGGTCTTTGGCCTACGAACCGGTAGGAGGTTAATGCCCCTCCTCACACAACACCGTTCACCTTACTTCATAAAAATAAAACTTTGCAGCTTAAAACACGCAGAAAAAAACCCCTGTTCAATATTCACTTGTACAATGATTAAACCCACATTCAAACGTATTTAGTAAAAACTATTATCAACTCATTTGAAAAAAATTGGCCTACGTTGACTTTTCGCAATACTACTACTACTAATAAAAAAAAAACAACAATTCGAATAGAAGATTTGATGAACATCATGATTACAAGATGCAATTTTACATTATACGCCTATTATTATTATGGCGCCAGAATTAATGCGCTGCGGCCACTCGAGATCTAGTGTCATTCTGACCGGAACAGGTTTCAAATAAAGGCAGCAGACTCCCCCTGGAACCACACTTAGCCATGTTTCGATTACATCAGCAGGAAATCTGATCACTGTTCAAATAAATACCAGACCCTCCGGTGGCTCACACATGCAATAACTGCGATCAATGAGGCAACAAACCAGACCTCGCTTTGTTTGTTCTGTCAGTTTGCTATGCTCCAATTAAATGTCATCTTTCTTTCACTTGTGCACGCGTTAGTGACGCCTCACACGTGTACCTTTAGTGACGCCTAACACATGTACCTTTAGTGACGCCCCATACAACACCCTTGTTTGACACCCCATAATCTAGTGACGCCTCACACATGTACCTTTAGTGACGCCCCATACAACACCCTTGTTTGACACCCCATAATCTAGTTACATCCCTCAGCACACCCTTTACCGACACCACACACCGCCCAATGTATTGAGTCCCACACCGTACAATCTAGTGACGCCCCACACCGCACCCTTTAGTGACGCCCCAAACATCTGCCCTTAAGTGAAGCCCTACACAGCAGTCTTTATTGACGCCCCACATAGCACCTTTTACTGTTTAGTGACACCCCACATCACACACTTTATTCACAGTGAAACCCCAATCTGCAGAAGCTAGTGACGCCCCACGCCGCACCCTTTAGTAACACCCTACACCGCATAATCTAGTGATGCCCCACACCGCACCCCTGAGTGACGCCCACAAAAGAGCTTCTCCTACAGCATCGAACCTTTTACATAGAACAACTATTCAAGAACGTTCCGTTGTGGCAATAGCGACTGTAATCTAGATTTCTAGATCAATGGTTAGATCTAGGCAATGCAAGCTTTACATAGTGTGGGGAAAGACACATCATTTCGTACTATTTCACTCTTTCCAATGATTGCATAACCATACCCCACCTAATTATTATTCTTTGTACATCTCAAAGAGATGAGAAAAATGAATGATTGTGATGGTCCCGTCTAGAAATAGGCGTACATCCCAGTGGAGTGATGTGGCCTTGTTTGTAGAATCGATCCATTAACGGCGGGAAAAAGCCCCACCCGTCACGTGACCTTGAGAATGTGGAAATAGGAGCGAATGTCTGTTCGTTTTGTAACGAAATGCTGTTTTTGTTACCCCTAAGAATAATGTAGGAATCGTGGCTCGCTGAATCAATAGAAGTGTGAATAAAATAACATTTTTTGTACCAAAGGGTACATGTTTTTTTTCTTAATTTTAATTTAATTTAATTTTTAAATTGTAAAACGTTGCTGATGACACTTTCCGAATAATAATCATAACTCTTTGATGGATGACTGTATTGCGCATGTCAGAGTTCTGTCAAACTGGACAGTATCGATACTTTCATACATTTCTCCCCCCTTCCTCAACAACAAAAAATTGTGCAAATTTTTAATTTTATTTTTTGGACACAAAAAACTGTTGCAGAACGACACACCCACAGCTACATCGTAATGACACACCATCTACAAATCTATAAACAAACAACTACAATTCGTGGTTCTCACATAGATAGCGCAGTGTGAAACAAAATAAGCTGTTTCAAATGGTACAGAAATGGCAATACTAAGACTTGTTGGCCTAACAGTTTAGCATGCGGGGTTTTAAAATGGCGCTGGAGATTCAGTTTCAGCTATTTAATTAAGGACTTTGCTTGTTAACAATCAAAAACTATTGATATGATTGATATAAATATAGACACTACAAAGTACAAACATAAAAGTGCAATTTTTAAAAATAAAAAATGTGGGTCAACATAAACCATGAACCATACAGAGTAATGGGAGACTCACCTTGACCTTGCTCCCAGGGTAACCCGTAGGGAACAGTAAACAGAGAAGAAATTATTGTATGTAGCGATATAGATGCAAGAGAGAGATATAGGATTAAACATGTATGTTTGTTGACATATTTTTATCAGGAGATCTCAGGCATTAAGGGGATTCAGTAGATTGGGGTAATAACGAAGTAGTAATGTTTGGATGTAGGGATCACATCTTATTTAGGGATCACAATACAAGTCGGGGTCACAAATGAAAATTTGGATATCAATTTTGAAAATGAATCATACTTCAAGTAGAGGTCACTTGTTGAGTCAAAATTTGAAATCTGAAAATTGTTACGATTAATAGGCTATAGTATAGCCGCTATACCTTTCAAAGTATGGAGAAAACAATGTTATAAGTATATAACCTATACCCTATAGTGGGAAAAAAAACACAGGTGTTAAAAGAAGCTGCTTAAGTAGTTTAAAAATAGATATTTGTGGCAGAAAGGGAAATTTGAAGAAACAGGGAGTAAGAAGATAAAAAAAGGTATCAATAAAAAAGTAGCATAATTTAAAATAAAGATATTAGGCGTATATTAAAATTTTATTATTTTATTTAAAACAAAAAGGATTAGGTTTATTAGAGATTAACATAAACTTTATTAAAAACTCGCTGTGGACAACTTAATTTTAATTTTTGGTGATTGCATTAACGTATCTCTAATCGCCCATGAGTTCTACTAGAAGGGGCATAACCCACCTGTTTAGTTTCGACTTCAAGCTCCAGACTTTCCTTCTTGAGTTGGTCCTCAAAGTGTGCCCTCCACTTGTGTTTCTTGTTCTCCTCCTCTTCGTCGTCGTCCACATTGTACACCAGGACGTAATCGACGCGACGTCTGCCGTCGTTCATAAATAGGCTTGCGGCTGGCTGTTGACAAATATTTTAAAGCTTTTATAGAGGATGTTGTACAAATTTTAAATTTGTTTTTTATTGGCCTTTCTGTTGTGCCTAGTCGATGCAATAATTTTAATTACATTATTTTTGTTGTTGAAACTGGTTTTTAAGAAAAAAATTAATAAATTAATAATCAAACAAGTTACAACTATTTGAAAGTAGCCTACTTAATTAAATAAAAGTTAAAAAAAAAAAAAAAAAAAAAAAAAAAAAAAAAAAAAAAACTTTCGCAAAATGAGAAAAGAAAGAAGAAAAAAACCATTCTCAAAATAACAATAGTGTTTCTTTCAGACATTTTATTTTTCTTCGAGGGAGGAGTGGCGGGGCGGACACTGGTTGAAGTATACATTTTTTATATACAAATTCTATATTTCATTCGGGGGTGGGACTGTAGACGTAACCACTGGGAGTGCCCCCCCCCCCCAGAGATGCCTGAAAGAAGAGACTAAATTACATGAACCCATGTCAACAAAATTTGCTCATGCATGAATTAAAAAAAAAAAAAAAAACTGAATGTAAAGTTTTGTAAGTAAAGAGAAAATATTTCAGCTGATGTAAATTTAGTTTTTCGCACAACAGATTAGATTTCTACATTGGTGGCCTGGGTGAACTCTCGATTTGCGTTCTTCTGTTCACTAAATATTCAGCCAGCAACCGCCATACTGAAACCCCTTGCTCTAACAAAACGTTTATTCGATTCTCTAATCCTCCCCTCTCCCCAAGTCTAGATAAATCTATTGACAAACTATTCTTATCAGGCAAGATTGCGTGTTTGCCAACCGTGTTGATTTATTTTTTTAAAGTGTTGCTTTAAATTGAATAGAACCATTACGTACATTTCTTTATCAGTGTGCTCTTTCATCAGCGGCAATCTTATCGTGAACACGAGTGACGGCCCTTACACAGGAGTTACTGTTCCTTGTGTAAGGATCAGGCAACAGATTCCAAATCAAGTTCTCCTTGTTTAGCCCATTTAACAGATTAAAAAAAATCTAAATATATTCATTCAAGTGCAGGCAGGCACACCAACATGAATACACTTGGGAAAACGTAGGATAAAACTTTGATGAATAGAATGCATGTCAAATTAAACACCACGCCCTTTTTTTGGCCCCACCCTAACATCAATTAATCAAATATATTGGCAATCCCCAATGGCAAATATAACTGTATACGAATACTTCCTCTTCAATTAATGTGCCAACAAATTTCAACACATCTAAATATAATGGTCAGGTTTCTAGGGAGTTTTTAGTCCACAAACACGATAAAATCTGGCAACTCCTACAGTGAAGAAGGAACAAGTATCTTTGTTAAACCTTTTTTCTGGTGAATAAACTTCTCATTCCCTGTTCATTTAATGAGCGGTGAACATGCGGTTAATAAATTATCTCGACACCGGATCTCACTGTTGTGATTATTATGTCAACAATGATCCTTAACTCTTGTGTCTCAGATAGAACAGACTGACCTCCCCTCTTAACCTTCACCACAAAGGCGCTTTAAATGTACATTTCTTTTTAAAAGGTTAAGATGTTGCTAGAGTAAGGTTCTGCATGTTGAGATAGTTGCAACTTCTACATAAAATAATAAGCAAGATCTAATCGAATTTGCGTAATTAGAAACAATATCAACCATGATGACTAAGTTTATAGGTCAACACGACCGGCAAGTTATATCTGTATATAATGTATATCAGAGGCATAACGAGGGGGGGGGGGGCGGGGGGGGGGGGGTGCGGACCGCACCGGGTGACACCATTTAGAGGGATTGACACCAAGGCAAAAAATAGCAAAATATATAGAGAAAAACTTGAGGGGGTGGTGCAAATCAAAAGTTTGAGGGAGGGGGGGGGGGGGGGGGCGGGGGTACAAATCGAAAATTTGTCCCCGGGAAGGGTCGCTACGCCTCTGGGGGGTGACACCATTAAGTGCCGTACCGGGTGACACCCGACCTCGCTACGCCACTGATGTACATACCTGTATAATGACTGGTTCATAAATTACATCATGCACTAGGAGATGAGGGCGTAAATTTATTTTAAACGTGATGGGGTTTAAGAAATGTGACACAGGATACATTTAAAAACGATTTTTTAAAAACTATGAATAGAATGTAATTTTTTGTGTGGCTAAAAATACGATTATTTCCGTGAGGGGAGGGGGGAAGAAAGAGGAAGTCTGGTCGAAACTTTGTGACTTTTTAAAAGAAGGTTCTGGGTTTTCGCGACGATGTGTACATGGTGTGACGCCATCTATCAACGCCCGCGACAGATTTCCTTAAACTCTAGTGTGACTCCAATTTCATAATTTAGAATTAATTTCCGAGCCATTTGTCAAAAGTATAAAACATGGTTTGACCTACTTGCTTTGGAAAAATACCCCCCTCCCCAGCTTATATTCCTAAAATGTATAAAATCTAAGCACCCCTTAACCCCACAATGACCTAAATCAGGGGTCTCCAAACTACGGCCCGCGGGCCGGATGCGGCCCGCGAAGTCCTCTCATCCGGCCCGCGGAGATCTATTTGTCCAAGTAAAAATCGTTTGTTGGTGATGGCTGAGGAACTTTGGCCAGCAAAAACAAAGACATACCTGGAAGAAACTGGCCCCCAAACTGAAATTTGATAGTCAATGCGGCCCTCGGACTCAAAAGTTTGGAGACCCCTGACCTAAATACAGGCAGCAGATGTATGATGACTTAACTGTGTTCTGGGATTCCCACGCCAACAGCCCTTAACATTATTAACAAAATGTAAGCCAAGTCCCAGTGTCAAAATGTGCATAAATGATTGAGTAGTGGCCAGGTGATTTCAACATTCAACGCGATACAAAAGTTCCTTTAGAAACTAAATATGCATGGGTCAACTGTGGGTGAAAAGAAATCAACCGAAAACCCAAAATTCTGTAGATAAAACAATACATTTTTGCAAACGGTTTGAGAGAAAGTGATAAGAAACAGCCGTCACCACTGCACGCGAATACCTTTTCAGACTTGGTTTCCCGCGCAGAGAGTAAAACAATGCTCTCGTCGTCCGTATCCTAGAATTGGGTGGTTTGGTTTTATTCTGGTGTCTCAGTGGGCTATAGACCAGTGCTACATGCGACTCAAGATTAACAAGTTAACCCTGGAGGCTACCCAAGGTCAAACAGTAGGTGCTACTGTAGGTCAACTAGATGCAACTGTAGGTCAGATAGGTGCTACTGTAGGTCAAACAGTTGATGCTACTGTAGGTCAACTAGATGCAACTGTAGGTCAACTAGGTACTACTGTAGGTCAGCTAGGTGCAACTGTAGGTCAACTAGATGCTACTGTAGGTCAACTAGATACTACTGTAGGTCAACTAGGTGCTACTGTAGGTCAACTAGGTGCTACTGTAGGTCAACTAGATGCTACTGTAGGTCAACTAGATGCAACTGTAGGTCAACTAGATGCAACTGTAGGTCAACTAGATGCTACTGTAGGTCAACTAGATACTACTGTAGGTCAACTAGATACTACTGTAGGTCAACTAGATACTACTGTAGGTCAACTAGATGCTACTGTAGGTCAACTAGATACTACTGTAGGTCAACTAGATACTACTGTAGGTCAACTAGATGCTACTGTAGGTCAGCTAGATGCTACTGTAGGTCAGCTAGATGCTACTGTAGGTCAACTAGATACTACTGTAGGTCAACTAGGTGCTACTGTAGGTCAACTAGGTGCTACTGTAGGTCAACTAGGTGCTACTGTAGGTCAACTAGATGCCACTCTAAGTCAACGCTAGAAGCTGCTATAGACAGTCTATTTTACCCGAATGTTAAAAACAGAAGTAACGCCGTACGAAGTTACAAAGGGCTGCCGGCATCATGATTTACGACACAATAGCACACATAATATTAAAGGCCTTGATGCCGGGTCCATTTTATCGTAGGGTCTATATTCTATAACTAGGAGGCCTATGTTTTCTATAAGTATGTATCATATATCTACGTATATATCTACGTATATATCATACATCCATAATATTTAATTGAAAATTGCACCTACAATATATATATATATATATATATATATATATATATATATATATATATATATATATATATATATATATATATATATATTAGTATTAGAAGACTATTTGCCCCACACAACCGTCAAGACTTAGTTCCAAACACATTAACCTAACAAGTTTATACGCCCTGCATGAATGCTAGTATAACAAAACTGTAGACCTAAGACACCTATTCAAACGTTAGCACTCAACACATTGCCCACACCCAACATTCAGACAAAGCTAATCTACTCACCTTCTCTTGTTCCTAAGGGAAAAAAAAAAGAAAAATCAAATACATTAATGTCTTTTTCTAAGCTACTCAGTATAAGAGCTAGCGTGGAAAACAGCTTAAAGCCGTTAAAATCTAATTTTAGCTCTACTGATTCGGTTAATTATCCCAAGGCAGCTCACACTTACCCCGCTCTGATTGCTGGCATCCACAGGGGCAGGCGGAACTGGGTCAGTGGAACTGTGATCGTTTCCTAGGAATAAATGTTACGTGTACATTCGTGTTACCTTGTGGCTTGAGCTCATAGCGTCTACAGTAAAATTGTATTGCTTGTACAGTATGACTAAGTACATGTATATACATCATTACAATATGTTATTTAATTTTGTAAATCGTAGAGCCTTTTTTAAAGGATAAATTTCCTGACTAAACTTACTGGATATATTTTATAAAAAGAAAATCGTAATGAAAGTTTGTTTCAGTTTGTTTGGCAATTGGGCTTTTTTAAAAATGGGATTTGGTATGGGATGTTGTTTTTTTTTGTTTTTTTTTTTTGGAGAAAGGCATGACTCTCCGTAGTATTCTGTGTGTTACAAATTGTTTTCTAGAAAAATTTGGTTTTATACTTAAGTTGAAATCTTTATAAACAGAACATAAACCTTAAACACCACAATATATATATATATATATATATATATATATATATATATATATATATATATATATATATATATATATATATATATATATATATATATATATATGTAACGAGACTATTTGCCTGTAGTGCCAAATGTTAACGAGTTCTGCTCGACAACGCCAAATGTTACCGAGTCTAACCACTCATTCTACACAACATCGACCACAGTATAGATACTCGAAGATGCAGGTTCGCTATTGATCCTTTTATTACATGAATCAAAGAAATGCTTCACAATAATATAATGAATCAAAAGGAATGCTTCACAATAATAGTCTGAATCAACTGACCCCCAACAGTCCTCACTAGTCTTCACATAACTGAATGCACATGTCTATCGTCCTTCTTAACACAATACGGCTAACCCGTTCAATAACCAACTTGATACTGCCACACTGACTGACTGATCGAGAGAGAGAGCTCAGCCGTCGCCTTCCTATATATCCCCTTCGTATTCGTAATCGTATTCGGTTCTATCATAATCGTAATCGTAATCGATTCTAATCGTTGCATCAGAATGTTAATTACGCCGCTTCTGTCGTACAGTCCGATTTAATAAGCCATCTGCATCCTGTCACATCAAAGTTGACAGACCGTATTGCGTTCTTATCGTATCGCTTCCCAAGATACTACGCCTTGGCTTTCTGATCGTTATCAGCCAACACCTGCGTTATTGCATCAGTCGTGTCAAAGTTGACAGCGCTGTACTGCGTTCCTATGTCTCTGGTAACTTCCCCTAGTTACATATATATATATATATATATATATATATATATTGAACAATGAATTATCAAAGCAGCGGTCATGTACGTTAGAAGACTGATGGACTAAGATTATAACATATTTGTATTTTATATGTGGTGTGTTGGATAAAAATTTTGGTCATCTGTGGCTTCACACGGCAGGGGTCGAGGGTGGGGTCCGGACCCCACCGTGAGACACTATCCCGGGGACGGACACCTAAGTCGCTAGCTTTAACCTGTAAGCCTACTTTGTCCATTCAATCGACCAACTTATTGAGCTCTACACATCTTGAAACACAGGTTGAAGCTACCCGTGATGTTGTGCTGCGTGCTGCCATGATTCACTTTTGTTAAACATTTTTGCTACCAAATAATTTCTAAACACACAAAAAAAAAAGACTTACCTATTGTTTTGATAGACAACACGGAGATGTCAGTCGACGTGTCTCCCATTCCTTTAAAAAAAATGAAAACAAAAAAGAACAGTTCAGTTGTTTAAATGGTTTGTAAATGCTTAGAAAAATAAATGGAAATAAAATGTCAAGTTTCTCGCTGCTTATTTGAGTAGATGTAGTAGAGCTAGTCTGTTTCTTTGACTTCCGGTAATATTGCTGTCAGATCTGAAAGGTTGTATCCTTAGAGGGTTCGATCTCTAGGGGGTAGATCCCTTGATGGTAAACCGCGAGAATATTGGATACATAGAGGATCTACCATCTCTAGAAGTTAGATCCTTAGATGGTAAAGCCCAAGAATATTGGATACATAGAGGATCTACCATCTCTAGAAGTTAGATCCCTAGATGGTAAATCCCAAGAATATTGGATCCATAGAGGGTTGGATCCCTGTAAGTTATATCCCTGAAAAATTAGATCCATGGATTGTTGGATGATAAAAAGTCATTTAAAAGTTTAAGAATCTTTACAAATATATTTAGACTAGAACAAATCTATCATAGTGTAGCCTTAGTAGGTTGCTAGGAAACATAGTGTATCAGTTTGTAGTTGCCATGTTTGGACAAAACTATTAGAACATTTTTTTTCTTTAATTGTAATGAAGAGGCTATTATGCTTTACAATAATAATTTTGTTGCTAAGCTTGTTTGTTTAGTAGAAAATATTTGGAGAAAATTATGAGTTTTAAAATGCCACAAATTATCCCCTGAACAAAAAAAAAATCGTCCAAGCAAAATGCGTAGATAGAAATTAAACTTTCAAAAACTCTTACTGTTTTAATGAAATTTACTTGAGTAAAAAATTAATATTTGTATAAATAATGTGATGAATTTAAATTTTCATTATGGGATTGATGTTACCGAAACAGATGAACTCTACTTCATCTGCCCCGTGTGTCTTGGGCACGAACGGGAAGAGATGATGATTCTAGGCTGTTATGCAAAACAAATTGGTAAAAAAAAATATTGCATTAGTAACATCATTTTAAAAATATCTTTAAAAAAAAAACAATTTATACACATTGCTATAATAATCGTAGTTAAACTGTTTAACATTGAATATAGCTTGTGCTAGTTACTTCCCATTTAACAACTCAAAATAACAAAGGAAGACAACCTACAACCGTCCCCTCCAAAAAAATGGTTAAAAATACGGGGACATTCAATAACAACAAAATATAACATACACATTTTATGTATTAATTTAATAAAACATGAATATTAGAAGCTGTATATGACTGTCTATTCTTCATAAATTTTAAAACTAAGATTTTACTCTAGAAACCCCTTAGCTTTATTAGATATCTTATTTTTATTTACATTTTAAAATACTTCAGTGAGTGATCTTATACCATTTTGAGACTTCTGACCGCATTTGGTTTAATTCTTACAAAAAAATCTAATATAAATCTGTTGAAATTACTTGAATCTCATTATTAAAATAGCTTATTAATTTTAAATGATTATCTTGATATTTGTGCCTGAATTCTAGGATACTAAATACCTAGTAACAATGGCAGAGTCCAAGAATCACACTAATCACAACTAGAATAAGAAACACCACCGCAATGGCATTCACAGGCCCAATTCCTACAGATATCAAGGGGGTTGATCCCAAGTTTTTGAAAAATCTGAAGTTTTCTAGAAAACACAACAAAAAGGCTGTTGCTGCTAAATAAATGTTTGTTAATAACTGCATGTAGTGTCGTGTCAGTTCATTAAAGTGAATGAGAAGTGAAACAAAAAATTCTGAAAAAAAAGCAATTAACAATAAAATGAATAATACTCATCGTTGGTCGCCACAACCCTATTACCGTCTAGGTCCACCCATCTCAGTGTAAAACAATAACCGGACATCAAAAGAAAAAGAAGTACAACCCCTAATAATTATTTTAATCTAGTTTTTCACACATTTGTCATCATGTTTCGGTACAAGCACTAGATTCTATATTAATATCTTTGAAACTATTTAAAACGACAAAATAATTAATTTTTTTAAATTGTTTAAAAACTTATTCAGGAAACAAAATCTTTGTTGGAGGACTGCTATGGATGAAGCTGTTGTAAAGGGAAACATGTTTGTAGTTTCTCATTTTACTCTACATTTCATCCTTGCTACTTATATTATTTTCTTTTTAATCCAAAATTTGTTTCAGCTCCAAACCCCCTACCCTCCAAATGTCCTATTTATATTTCAGGCTTCATTTAGGACTTCTCCTGCCCCTCCCTACTCTCCACAGGACTACCGATTACCCTTTAATTAATTAGTTACATTTTCCGGTTTTAAAAATTGAAACGTATTATGTATAAATAAACCTATGTATATGAATGTAAGTAAATGTCAGAAAAAAAGTTTAGCTATTGTAAATATTTATGGGTTAGCAGTCCAGCTCTCTACCGCTAGACCACTCCGTCCCTAACCCTAACCCTTTAATTAATTAGTTACATTTTCAGGTTTTAAAAATTGAAACGTATTATGTATAAAAAAAAACCTTTGTAAATGAATGAAAGAAAATGTCTGAAAAAAAGTTTAACTATTGTAAATAGTTGTAAATATATATCAGTCTTCACTAAATCGATGATGAAAAGCGAACAAGGAGGCAAGGCAAATGGACGCAGTGTACTACATGGCTGATGCAAACATAGAATTGAAGAAAGGATATAAGTAAACAAAAATCATTAGTTGCAGAAAATAGAATAGAACACCAACAGAAGGTAACCTTTGTCAGTTGGTTAAGACCAGAGTGAGTTTCTTTCAGGCATCTTTTCGCCCCCCCCCCTTGATATAAATTTCCGGTGGTAGGAGGCGGACACTGGTTATATAATTTTCTATTTCGTCCGTTGGTGGGTGGTTGCGGATGTGGGGGAGAGGGGAACGAGGGTTTTCCCGACGAAGATATGCCTGAAACAAACTCTAGTGACAAAATGCTTGGAAACCATACCGTTTTAGATAAACAGTGAAGAATACTTAAGATGCAACAACTTACCATGGCCTTCAAATCCAATTGGAGGAAGAGGTTGTAGGGACGCCTCATGTGGCGTGTGGCTCATATTTGAGTTGCTCGGGGTGACACCTAAACAGAAAAAGTTTGCACGTTTTACGTTTAAAGCTATGTTGAATGTAATTTAATTATAAAATATAGTGACGATTCGTATATTAGGCTTGTGTTTTATTATTTGCAAAGTTTTCACCCCTCCGTTTTTGTACTCAAATTAAAAAAAAAGTTGTTTTTATTATAAATAGTAGGCCCATTTATAATTTTTCTAGAGCTGAAGGGTTCAGCATACAAGCTTGAACGTTTCTCTAATTCATATACATGGCATATTTGTAATGAATACATGAATAATTTATAAGGACAATATCAACAAATGGTTCAACAGGAGAAACTTAAAATGTTTAACGCTAATCCACAAACTGGTCAACAATAATTCCAAAATGTTGAACACCTTTTCAAAAATGGATAACCACATGACTACTGGGGACAGAGTGGTCTAGCGGTAGAGAGCTGGACTGCTAACCCGTAAGCTCGCATTCGAATTCGGGTTCAAGTCAATGTATCGTCCCTGAGTCCACCCAACTGATGGGTACCTAACTTGGAAAGTAAAGGCGGCTCTACTGCACTTGCCCTATAGACCGTTTGAAAAGGGAACTTTACTTACATGACTACTAATCATGGCATTTATTTTATTTGATAAGATTAGTTAAAACACTAATTCAGACCATTACTTTGTAGTCCGATTGTCAAAAATAAAATCAAGACAATTCCCACTTATTAGGCTAGAATTAATAAATGGTCGATCCTTGACCCAACGATCAAAATTAGACTATGATAATAACTATTATAATAAATGTTCAACATAGGATGCGAAAAATGGTCAACACTGGACCCACTAAATGGTCAACACTGGACCCACTAAATTGTCAACACTGGACCCACTAAATGGTCAACACTGGACCCACTAAATGGTCAACACTGGACCCACTAAATGGTCAACACTGGACCCACTAAATGGTCAACACTGGACCCACTAAATGGTCAACACTAGACCCACTAAATGGCCAACACTGGACCCACTAAATGGTCAATACATACAACCTCCAAGAATAAAACTCACAACAAAACCTCGGCCTTCAAATGCTGATATCAACACCATTAACTGTATTTCTGTTAGTCACCAGAATTAATTAGAATAATTAGTGAGCCAATTTTTTCGTGAGCAACATTTGGTAGCAGTCGACTCACCGGCTGACCAAATGGCGCACGAGCTAAAAGTAAACAAGCACGGGGCTATTTCTTCACGCGCATTTCACCAGCCGAATTCATTCGCAGCTCAAGAGGCAATACCGTAATTTTGTGACGGTGTGTGATGATGGGGAGGGGGTCACTTTTTTGCATTACAAAAAAGCAATGTTAGAAAACTAGTTTTGGCCGTTATAATAAACTAGGCATGCTGCCCAGCTTCGCTTAGGCTTTCGAAAACATTGAGAATTTGAATGCTTAATTAATTCGCCCGAGGGTCGGTCTACGACCTCAAGAGTTATGAAGAGGTTCCTCCGTGGACATTTTTTTCGATTTATAGCTCATATAAGGTACCGGTCAGTCGAGGTCAGTTTTGACCCCCTCATCGTAGACTTTTCGGCCAACCGGCCCCCGTGTTCTGTCGCCCCAAGGCAAGATCCTGCCAAATTTGAAGCGCCTGCGGCGCCGGGAAGTGCCCTATCGGACACCCGACAATCTAGATCTAGATTCCTAATAGAATTTTTTTTTTAAGTTTAGCCCGAGTATATTAAAAAAAAAATACATTAACCACGTTGACTTGGTGTGTCTCGAACCCGCACCACCTGCGTTGTTAAAAGTACACTAACATATCCGCTATTTAGGCACCTGATGAAATACGGAAAATGAAACACGTATTTTAAAATCTTAACTTACGCGAATATGCCTATTCTTTCAAATTAATTTTTTTAGGCACCTGATGAAATACGGAAAATGAAACACGTATTTTAAAATCTTAACTTACGCGAATATGCCTATTCTTTCAAATTAATTTTTTTATCCCAAATTAGCCAGTTCCAAACAAAGATTTTGTATTAAATAAATAAGTCTTGAAATAGTTTAGTCCTAATATAGAAATTTATTTTTGGTATTGATTTTAGAGAAGTTAGAGTCTAAATCTAGATCTTAGCGTCTACGTCTAGATCTAGTTATTGCGTAGATTTAGATTTAGATTTAGTCTAGATCTAGAATCTCTAGATCTAGAATCCAAATACATAAAATAAATTTTATGAGTTTAGGCCGGAAAAATTGTATTGTATACATTTTAAAGTGTACGTAGATCTAGATCTAAATCAAATTTGAATGAAATAGTTCATTTCTTTTCATTCTAAACACGGCAGATGACGTCATTAGTTAATGTATAAGCAATAGCGACGTCACAGTTTTATGCGTTCTTTTTCACATATATTAATGCTTTTCCGGTTGCATAAATAATACTGTTTCTCTATATTCGAATACGCCTTTATTTTTTATTTTTCTTCTTTAAATAATTTTGTGGTTATACATTTAAAACATCTAACATATTTTTTTCAACAAAAGTCCGTAAAAAGTTCTCGATATATCGCTGCCGATTCTGACGTGATGTCCGGCGAAAATTTTTTGCGGACAGAGAAAGAGAGAGAGAGAGAGATGTGCGAACGTGGGGATTTATAAATTAGGATTAATTTTTTTAGGCACCTGATGAAATACGGAAAATGAAACACGTATTTTAAAATCTTAACTTACGCGAATATGCCTATTCTTTCAAATTAATTTTTTTATCCCAAATTAGCCAGTTCCAAACAAAGATTTTGTATTAAATAAATAAGTCTTGAAATAGTTTAGTCCTAATATAGAAATTTATTTTTGGTATTGATTTTAGAGAAGTTAGAGTCTAAATCTAGATCTTAGCGTCTACGTCTAGATCTAGTTATTGCGTAGATTTAGATTTAGATTTAGTCTAGATCTAGAATCTCTAGATCTAGAATCCAAATACATAAAATAAATTTTATGAGTTTAGGCCGGAAAAATTGTATTGTATACATTTTAAAGTGTACGTAGATCTAGATCTAAATCAAATTTGAATGAAATAGTTCATTTCTTTTCATTCTAAACACGGCAGATGACGTCATTAGTTAATGTATAAGCAATAGCGACGTCACAGTTTTATGCGTTCTTTTTCACATATATTAATGCTTTTCCGGTTGCATAAATAATACTGTTTCTCTATATTCGAATACGCCTTTATTTTTTATTTTTCTTCTTTAAATAATTTTGTGGTTATACATTTAAAACATCTAACATATTTTTTTCAACAAAAGTCCGTAAAAAGTTCTCGATATATCGCTGCCGATTCTGACGTGATGTCCGGCGAAAATTTTTTGCGGACAGAGAAAGAGAGAGAGAGAGAGATGTGCGAACGTGGGGATTTATAAATTAGGATTAATTTTTTTAGGCACCTGATGAAATACGGAAAATGAAACACGTATTTTAAAATCTTAACTTACGCGAATATGCCTATTCTTTCAAATTAATTTTTTTATCCCAAATTAGCCAGTTCCAAACAAAGATTTTGTATTAAATAAATAAGTCTTGAAATAGTTTAGTCCTAATATAGAAATTTATTTTTGGTATTGATTTTAGAGAAGTTAGAGTCTAAATCTAGATCTTAGCGTCTACGTCTAGATCTAGTTATTGCGTAGATTTAGATTTAGATTTAGTCTAGATCTAGAATCTCTAGATCTAGAATCCAAATACATAAAATAAATTTTATGAGTTTAGGCCGGAAAAATTGTATTGTATACATTTTAAAGTGTACGTAGATCTAGATCTAAATCAAATTTGAATGAAATAGTTCATTTCTTTTCATTCTAAACACGGCAGATGACGTCATTAGTTAATGTATAAGCAATAGCGACGTCACAGTTTTATGCGTTCTTTTTCACATATATTAATGCTTTTCCGGTTGCATAAATAATACTGTTTCTCTATATTCGAATACGCCTTTATTTTTTATTTTTCTTCTTTAAATAATTTTGTGGTTATACATTTAAAACATCTAACATATTTTTTTCAACAAAAGTCCGTAAAAAGTTCTCGATATATCGCTGCCGATTCTGACGTGATGTCCGGCGAAAATTTTTTGCGGACAGAGAAAGAGAGAGAGAGAGAGATGTGCGAACGTGGGGATTTATAAATTAGGATTTTGATAGGAATTGATCAAAAGACTCTATGTCGACAGAGTTCTGACAAGATTTTGGAAAAATATCGATGTTTTAAGAAAAATTCAACAGCAGTTTTGAGGGGGGTTGTAGGCTGAGGTGTGACGTCATTTTAGGGGGGGGGGGTCTGGCTTTTTGTGACGACATGTGACAAAGAGGAGGGGGGAGGTAAACATCGTCAAAATAAGCGTGACGTCATTTATGGATGACCCCTAACTAGAAGTAAGGGTGTTTAAGTGTGAATAATAATACCCGTTAACTTCCCGCATATTACCAGTGTTATTAAACCTATCACCTCGTCTACCCCTAAAACTGTACAAATAGTATTATCTAAACAAAACCTTGGCTGTCACTTGAACCCTAACACGCTATCAATACAAAGTAAAACACTTTAGTGGGAATCATGGCTTGTATAGCACCAGGACCAATCGTTCAAACAATGTATACACAATGGTACGATAACCAATCGAGTTGGTTAAGGAACCGCGATGTGAAAAGGACGGTACGGCTATTGGGATATAGGGAAAGTATCCCAAGAGACGAGGGGTTTATCGATTCATGAATTTTACTTACACAAATCTTAGGCATACAATCTTACACGTACAAATGCTATGCATATTTGTATATGTATATCTAACTGATATTACTCGGATAAGTCATATAGGTTAGGTAAGATTTTTACATTTTATACCAAATAACGTTATGTAACGTTTTCTTAAACCAACACACCTCATTTAATTTTTATATTATAACAGGCAGTGTTTCTCCCAGACTTTTTCTCCGAGGGGGGGGGGGGGGGGGCTTGATATTTTCGGG